AAACGGCGAAAAATACCGTCCCCAAGATATATCACCAATTAACATTTTTAGCTTTGTTACACTCAAAAATGAGATCCTAGATTTTCTAGGATGGCCCTACTACATCTTAGAAAAATTGACTATTTTATACGCAATGTTTAACTTTATTGGATTTCTTTTCTCACTCTTAAAAGGAATCTACAATACATGTGCTATACACACACAAGTAAACAGACAAGCAAGCGTAGCACGCATACTTTTTGCAGGATTTTTTGGAATTTTTTCCACATCTATAAACAAAATTCTTTTAGACGCACAAATAAAAGAATATAACACAAAAATAACAACACGACAAAATACATACGACGAAGAACATAACAATGTCGACCCACAGCCAACGGCACCACAATTACCACCCCTACCAAATAACCATCCACTATCCCTAGTCCCACGAAATTTTAGAAATTTAGCAATCACACATAATCCAAACTTTAGACTCACCACATCACAAAGTCCCGTCCAACATATAATGACACATCAATCACAAGATGATAATACTTACGAACAAATTATTGAACAACCACATACCACCGCTTTTCAATCTCAAAATAATAATTTTTTTAGCCCACGATGAGCCGCCAACTTGGATCACTCCATCGATCAAATTCCCATCCAACCAACCTTACCTCTTCAATCCCAATAATACCACTTTTTGCTTTTCCGCCACCCGATTTTCCATCTAGCAATGTAACATCAGGCATGAATTCCGACACTAACTCACAAATTTCAGTTTTATACTCCATTTCACAGCTAAATAACCCGAATATTGAAACCCCCGACGAATTTGCCGACTCAGAACCATCTCCATCCAATAATTTTCATAACCCTTCTAATTTTTCTCAACCTCCTTTTCAACCCATATTGTCCAATAACCCTGACCCAATCACTCCGACACCCTCTTATGCTTCCCAAGTTACCCCAACCTACTCCTCATACCATTCTGACCAATCATCTCCAGACACCCCCCGAATCTCCCCAGAGCTAGACAATTTTATTACCCTCCAACAACAACCCTACCACCTTAACACCCCGACCATAAACCAAATCTCCTCCACTACAACTTCATCCAATCCCCCTACACCCTCTTCAAATTATACTGAATCATTAGCACCATCATCCACATCAACTGAATCCTCACTCAACACTAATAGAGCTTACCGCACTTTTAAAAGAAAGTTCCCCAACCATCCTTTCCCAGCAAAACCAGGAACAGCCCGTGAATACATCAACCACCCCCAGCATACTAACACTAGAGAATTTTTAGCTATCACTTTACCCTCATTTCCACAATACACCTTAAACACCCCTCATGACGCTAACGAAACACGCAACTTTGTAGACGAATACGTTTTAATGCCCACTCTCTCTTGGACCTCATACTATCATTTCACTAACCCTCTTTGCTTACCTTTAACCAACACATCCATCGATATAGACCGAAACAAAGACATGCTATATCGACTAACTACACCACTCACCGCTAGACAATTTACTTACGTAGGATATAAAAAATCACTAAAAATACACACTGCACCTAGAGCTAATGAATATACACTAGAATACTACGATCACAACATCATCAGAGCTAACCAAGATCAATTCTTAGACGACGATCGCTTCGCTAACCCACAAATCACCGAGAAATTTTTCATCAAGACACCATATGTATTTACACTAAACATCTTCGACCGAAAGTTTGATCACATTATTTCAGAAGCACTAACAAGCACACAAGCGTACGAAAGTTTTAAAGAACGCTTCCAAATCTTTTCACTAACCTTTCATTTCCTTGCACCACACGAAAGAGATTTACACTGCTCACACGATATTATGTTGCGAACTAAACAAACACATACATACAGTTACTATCGTTTCATCCAAAATCACTTTGACCTCCACACACCCTCTAGACAACCACACCATCGCTTTCAATTCATCAATTCAAAATACACTTCACCGTATTTCCTAAATTTCACATATTGTATTAAAGATACTAACCTTCATGGTATTCTTCGTAACTATGACCCCATAACCCAAATGTACATTTTCTGCCCCATCACCAAGACCTTCAACGCCGAAGAATCCCGACCCTTCCTTATCCCGCACGAGTTTGTACAGCCTATAGAAATCCCCATTTTAGAATTCATCCACAACACTAAATTTAACCACAAATTATATAACTTAATCCAAAACACACCTTATGAGTTTGCAGTAGGCACTGAAGAACTAACCACTATTAAGGCACTTCAATTGCTTTGGCCACTGCTTCAAACTAAAAATATCATTCGCATCTTAGCTAAACTACTAACAACTTCAGAACTAATTCACGATATCTTCCCCCACGGTTTTTTCCCCGACGACTAACAGGTAAGTATGAATTAAATGAATATAACTAACTAATTAAAATATTAAAAAACTCACCATTCTTTATTCATGTTTTCTTTAGATTTTTAGCCTTCATCTTCGATCATCTGAAAAATTCACAAAAGAAAAATAAAAAATAGCAAACTTCTTCAAAACTGTTTAAGACCCTTTTAACTTTTGCACCAACAATTAAATAAATATAATACCAATGCAGTAAATTAATTTATAAAATTTTCCCCCAAAGCAATAAATCTACATATGATGAAAATTTGTATCTTAAAATTCCCCCATTACTAGCAGTAAATTTCCAAATTCTATGCAGTAAATTAATAAAATGCAATTGCAGTACTAACCTTTTGATATTTTCATTCATTCGCACAGAAATTCTATCCACACTCACACAGCTCGCCCACGAAGAATTGTTTAAAATAATGAATTTCAGTTTCAAGTTTTCACACTCAACAACTCTAACATATAAAAACAAGTTTCAAACTTTCCTTTAACCCGGTTGGAAAGGAATCATATACTAAACAAAACTAACCAACGCAGCTTACCAAATACCACAAATCATAAAATAACAGCATGACTTAGAAAAGGAAACCAACGGTACCCAAACCGGATTAACCCAGTTTAAAACTGGATAATTTATTCTTTTGAAGACTATTACAAAGTCTTAGAAAGAGATAATAAAACACAAAAAAGTCGAAAGACAAACCCATACCACAAACAATTTGCTTTTTGGAAAAAGTACATAACCAACAAGACATAAGTAAAACCACAACAAACCCAACATAAAATGTTGTCACATAACAGGACTCCTCATAAAAACCGCATGAAATCATACTCCCACACCTGGCCTAACCCACCAGGAAAGGACGTCCTGAGCATGCCCTATAGCCGGCCTAACCCACCGCGCTACATCCACGCTTTGTGACCACACCTTTATTTTTAATAAGAGCTACTCAAGGGTGAGTAACTCTTCAAAATAACCGAACTAAAACAAAAAGCTTTTGTGAAAACAACTAACTAAAATCATTATTAAAAAATATTAAACTAATAAAAGTTTTATAAAATGTAAAATCACATGATGCAATATATAGATCAGAATACAACACCAAGGACGAACATCAAAAGACAAGACGACCTCACTACACTCGAGAGAGAATGACCAACTACAATCGATATGCCGCTCACAATCACAACTCAAAGGATTTAGAGTACGACTTGACTTCGCAGAAAAGGACTTCATTGAACTAGACCAATGACCACCTCGATGTTCAAGTATACGTACAGATCCGAGTAACCAGGCATCCCCTCCATGCACAATCTCCACGCCATTCCCGAGCTAGATCAAACACAAAAGAAGTTCTCTCCGAAGAACAGAAAAACCTGACATAGCCAACCATTCTGAAACCAGAATTGATGCTGTTGCAGAGACTCAGTCGTTGTCACAAGAAGAACACAACGTCTTGTGTCCTCAATTCCAGATCCCTGGAACTTCCTTAACAAAAAGGAAACAAAAGAAAAATGATGTTCGCCAAATACCAACGTCCATCATCCATCCTTGAACTACAGAAGAACTGTTCTAAAAAACTCTGTAAAACCCGGATGGGTGGAACCTGATCTAAACTATATTTTATGATTGGATAAATTAAATGTTTTACCAATGTAAAGTATTTAATATTAACCAATCATGATCCATCTAACTAACAACCCACTTATTTGTAAGTGCTGAAGTTACTTGTAATTTCAGCACCAGAGAGATTTGAATTTAACTTAGAAATTAGTTGGACTCTCCCGAGCACTTCAGCAGCCGCAATAAACCAGTATACCCTAGATCTATTGAGCCTAGCAGAGACTAGTTAAACAACCTGAGACTAGATAGTATAAGAGTAAGATTAGGATCGGTATTAGACTAAGAAGTTGCACGAATCTATCCGGCCGAAAATAAGATAGCGTGACGAGCAGACGGTGTACCCTATCCGAAATTACTCTATGAGTTATACACCCCAGTCCTAACTCAATTAGAAGAAATCTGTGATTTGACAAAGGTTGTTCCTGGGCAGTCTGGTTCTCGTCCTGCTTAAAAAATAATGAATTTATTTTCGAGGCGACAGTATAAAATTAAAGTACAAAATTTTGAATTAAATATATCAAATTTCAATAGTTAAAAACAGCAAAGATTTTTGTCAATCATAAATTTGTCTGCTCAGATGCGCCACTGTTCTATGCTAATTGAAATACAAATTTTACTCACAATAAAGTTTCTGTATCAGGTAGGGGTTTTTTTCAGAATAACACATTTTAAAGTTTTTTTTCTGTGCAATAGCAAAGGTATTTGGGGTTTCGGGCTATATTTCCATACAATGAGCAAAGCTAATAACAACAATAAAAAATGGTTTTCGAGCAGTTAAATTGTGGGGTAGTTATGAAAAGTTACAACACCGCATACAAACAGTTACAGACATTATTTTACTGCATTATAGACCTTCATTTGACCTACAGGTCCATTTTGCACGTGTCTCATACCTGTAACCGACCACAGACCTGAGGGTGTCTACAATAGAAAATGAGTTATTATCATGCTTTATACTGACCCCGTTGCGAAAGTACATCTGTGCCTCTATCATCATCTCGTCCACGTCTTTCTTCTCTTTATCATTCGGCTTAATGCACTCCTCTCCTCCCTCACTGTAGGGTGGGGGGAAGTTGACGACAAACAACTGGAACAAGAAACCTTATTCACCTTGCTATATAATATTGCACCATGTAGCCGATGAAGTCAGTGCAAATAGCACCAAGAGTTCCGACCACAATTCTTTTATTTTAGATAAATAAAATGTAACTAGTACAAAGCCCAAAATTTATTCTTTGAAGATTTTTTCATTTTTTCAGTTTTCAGATAAGAGAACCTTAAAAGACTTTGAAGTATTGAAAAAAGCGGTGCGATAGTTAAGGCAAATTTGTCTAGCAGTCTGATATAGAGCGGAAAAAAATTACTCAAGAATAGAAGTTTTCAGAGCGGTTTTTCGCGGCAAACGAGAACAAGAAAAATGTCCAGAAAATGGTGGTATATGAGTAACAAGCGTGTTGAACAAAAAAAAATTAGATTTGATATTTCTACAAAATAAAAAAGAATTTACGACAAAAAAGTGTTCGCTAAATTTCTTGCAATGAGCCTGATATTCAAAGAAGTATCAATAGCCACTTGCTATACAGTAGCCACTTAGTGTAAACACCTCAGATGGATAGAGAACAGGAACTCAACGTACCTCTTGGGCCGACAAGTCTTCTTTGTCAGGCAAGGGTGGGGCGTCTCCTGCCTGGTACAAATCCTCTGCCCTCTCGCATTTCGGTTCCTCTTGATCGCCCATGTTTTAAACAGAAAGCAAAACTAGCTTTTCAATTAATTCTGATTAGACTCAACTTATTTTTGAATACAAATATGCGGCTGTGCTGTTTGCTTGTAACTAAGGATGTCGAAACTGAAAAGGAATTTTTTGAAAGTAACTACCTGTAAAAATAAGGGGAGCAAATTTCCTTGGCAACAAGTAATATTTATAAATTTAAGTCTCTTATGGCAATACTACTTCCTGTCTTCATGTTTTCTTTGGGTGCCTGGTACTGCGATAAAAATATAGCGGTGAAAAGCAAAAATACACACTAAAAAGCTGAAGGGTTTGCAGCAAAAAAATCATGTTTTAACCTTGAATAAAATAGTTTTTAAAAAACATAGAACACGTGGGATGAAAAATTGATTAAACTCGTATGAATGGAAAATTCTTGAAAAGAAGACACAAAATCATATTTAAAAAAAACGCTAAACAAGCTCAGGTCAACTGAAGCATTTGAGAAACTAGACAATTTGAAAAATTCTGCATGTTGATTTGGTTGTTGGAGCGGCCTTGCGCGTCTTTGTGCCATATACTATCCGTTGAAAATTCTTATATCCGACAATTTCATCAGTTTATTTTAAAAAATAAATATATAACAAGTGGGCTGATTGCTTTTCAAGTAAAACAGAGTTATCCGTACTGCGATAAAATATCTAAGTATCTTTGCAAAAAATAAGGCAACAATTGATTTTTTCACCCTAGTGATACACAAGTACTAGACTTTTTCCACAAAATAATTTTTTTCATGGGGTCTCCAACTTTAAAATCTCCAGTTCTAGCCAGGTTGTAAGTAAACCAGCTGTGATAATGGGTCTATAGCTCAAAAAATTTAAAATATGAATTGATATTCTAGCCAGTTTTTTTGATTTTGTCCCAATTGCTTCTCGATTTAACTATTGGGTGTTTTATTTTACTAACTTTTAAAAATTCTTAGATACTTCAAGTTTTCAAGTTTCTTTCGGATCCATGATTTCTGATTTACCTTTTTGTTTCTGGCATTTTTGCGAGGAATCATATTTTTTTGTTTCAATCTTTTTGGTATGTTTTTGTTTTGAGCAGTTTCGTTTTAAAACAATTTGAAGTGATGGCAAGTGCGTAATAATTTTGTTTAACGAAATTTTCTTTTAGTTTTGCAGAAACATGCTTTGTGAAAATTAAAGTTGAATGTTTATGTAAACAAAGGTGTTTGGTAGGTGTCACAAGAAAATCAAGAGTAGTTTTTTGTGACTAAATTTTTTGTAAATTGATTTTTTTTCTTAACGGGGGGTCTTTTTTGTTATAAAAAGAGCCCTTATACTTCTAATGCTTAGAAAATTGATTTTTATATGATTAGGAAAACGATTTTTGCAACCAAATTTTAATTTTTCTAAACCTTTTTGAAACTACGTACGTTAATGACTAACGTTTGAGTTCAACTTAGCTCAGTTGTGCCTCTGTGTGTAATTTTGTTTACCTATTTTTTGCACATGAAAAATTTGCATCAAAAATACCCGCGGATTTTTGAATTTTTTTTGAAATTCATTAGTTAATCTTTTATGTTGTGAAACTGGAAAAACTTTGTGCTCTCTTACTATCCGTAACTATGGTTCTTAGCAATGATTGTTCCTCCGAAAAAAAAATGTTTCAGCAGTAAAGCATAGGATAACTTGTACCTAGTAACAAAGTTTTCCCTTTTGTCATTGGTGCAATAGTTCGTGATGCGCAAAATTTTGTCGTAGAAATTGAGAGTCTTCGTGTTTCGCTCATTTCGAGTACGAATAGAAGGATATAGGATCAGCTTTATCAATTTTGATTTAAAAAATCAGTTTAAAAATTTTTGCTTAGAATGTGAATCATAATTGAAAAATTTCAACGTAATAAATCAGCATGCGTGCGAACATCTTACTTTTTAGTTCTTCCTTTTTTTTTCTGCTGCGCTTTCAAATTTACCAAATAATGCTGATATGTTTACACTTCTGATTAGCAAGCATCATCATAACGCAAGTTTTACTTTTTCTCAGATTCACAACTTGTCAAACAAACTCACTGAATCATTTGATAGCTTGACGTATTAGGAGTTGATGAGCGCAGTTCAGAGTTTTATAAAGGACGTGGTGATTTAGTTTTTTTAGGCCTTAACAGTCTATAATACAAAAAACAATACTTACACTCGCACATATGAGTGCCCTTAAGTATATATGCACTTTTTGAGTTTAATTCAAAATAAAAGGGAGATAAATGCACTTTTCATTTAAGAAAGCTAAAATGGCGCAAAGTTGATTTGATCGACTTTTAGTTTCGAAGATAGAATTTATTTTTTAGATTTCCCAGCGGAATCAAAAATTTTCATAATATTCCAGTTTTCTCAATTTGGTTTAGTTTCCTCAAAAACAGCCAATCATAAATTGTTCTTCAAACTCAAAAAGCCTTAAGGCTATAGGCCATGTATTATTTTATTTAAAATTGAAATCAAATTTTTCACAAATAAAAATAATTTTGGTTCTTCGCGTTCCTTGATTCTTTTCCAACTGTCTGATGACTATGTTTATTGGTTCAAGTCCAGTGTTTGGTTTTGCAAGTTTGGCGTAGAGAAAACGTCCGAAGACGACAAAGGTCATGGGTTCCAATCAAGTCTAGAACTGTTAATTTTGCAGGCTGAAGTTTTTTTCCTCTGAAATTATTTTGCTGCACTGTTTACCTGCTTATTTGCTGTCGAATTAACCGCCACGCAAAAATTTTTCGTTTTTTTTTTATGGTTTAGCATATCATACTATATGTTGCAAATCATTTTGATGCATTGGAAATGGTGCATGTAATTGTGATCCGAAACATTTCGCAGCCCAAAGTCACAGACGTCATGCAAACTTGTCACAACCCCAGTAGCAGCCATTGACAGCACTCTGGATGAAACAATTGCCAAGTAAGTTGAACAAAAATTTTTTCATCATCCAGGGGTTAAAGAGCTAGATCCAGTTGAGTTGGATAACGAGCAGTTGGATAGCGGCCAGCGAAGAAATCAAAGCGACAAAATTTGTAAGCGGTTTCTGACTTCTGATGAATAACACGAACGAGTGCTTTGCTGATGAAACCGTACAAAGAGGACATCTCATCAAGCAACTGGCAATCTACCTGGGTACGGCATCGTTGATTTTTAACTCTTGTTAATTTTGTTAGACTATTTATTTTTCCAAATTCGTTTTTGGATGGAGCTTATTATTGAGGAAAAATTGAAAACTGCTCGCTCGAAGGATCCTGCTCGGGCCACTCGCTGCCCGGGTTGACCTCCATCGAAGTCTGTGAAACATCGGGCCACACGCTGCCCGGGTTGACCTCCATCGAAGTCTGTGATACTACTCATACAAATTTCATACATTTTGCTAAAAATGTGTCATCCAATTTTCAAAGAACTTTTTTCTTAATTTGGCTTAAAAGTCGGCGTATTACCATAAATAAATAATATTATTATTATCAAATCATTATAATAAAAATCATTATATGCTCCTTATATGCTCCTTCAAAATCATAATATGCTCGGCTGAAAATATTCGCGTGGGAATGTTCATGTGAACTTCTGCGCGGGAATGTTGTTGAAGTTCACATGAAACATACGGACCTAAATGCGTACTTGCCATAATGATAGCTTTTGGTGTGCTCAAGCATTGATAAGATACAATCAAAAGATGCTGAAGGGAATCGTTTTTAATTTTAGTGTTCAGCTTTTTGTTGATCTTGGATTGCTTTGCTTTGTTAACATTTTCTTTTTTCATAATTTAATGTATTTTATTCATGACAAACTGTCAAAAAAAATTCTGAACTGACTCAGTTTGATTTTTTTTGCTTTCGACTTCAATTTTACTCTTAAGTAATTTCAATCATCGGTTCGATTAAGCTGAAAAGTTCGAAGAGCTCTCTAATTAATTTACTCGTTATTTCTCTTGTAAAGTCCATCGACCAGAGTCCGTCGACTAACTTGGCCAGAAGCGATTAAATCAGAAAGCTTTGAAAAGTTATTTGCACTTTGGTGAGATCGCAAAAACTTACTGACAAAAAGTAACATTTTTTATACTGCCACAAATCTCTATTAGGCGTTTTAGTTTTATTAAATCGGCGTCCGTTATTTAAAAGCCATTAACCATCACACGTATATGTTCGAAACTCAATCAGCTTGATTAGTTTTGCTTCAAACGAGAGCGATTATTTTACTCTTGATGTATCTATCGTCAATCGCTTTTCATGTGGAGTTCATTCAATCGTAATAAGCCGACGCCGTATGAATTTGTAACAGAATCGCGACTTTGTTTGTATAGTTTATAGTAGAATTCTTAATGGTCAATTTGGTACGCCTTGCTGTCAATCCATTAATGACCAATTAGATTAGCTTCACTTCGGCATTATTCCGTATTAGTTCTTCTCGGATCATCTTCCTTCGGATCCGCTCATCTCGGAGTCCCACGGTTTCTTCTTGTCGGATCTTCCTGTCTTTCCTGTGTTTCTCGTTTCAAACATCGCTCCTAGTCGTTCCGAGTCTACCCACCTTGTCGGGTTCCTCTGGTCTCCCGGCCGAGACATGAACTGCAACTCGTGTGGTCTGCCACCCAAAAAACCCACCAAGTAAGTTCAAACCTTGTAACCATTTTACAACGGAATTTTTTATAGCGCTTTACCTTTGGTTCAAAGCTTTTGTTTGCCAAAAGAAAACATTTATTTCAACGTCAATGGTAAATTGATCAATGGTAAAATTTTCCGACCCACGCAAAACCAAGTATTCCAAAAAAAATGTCTGGTGATGCCAAGAATGATACTATCAAGCTTAACCTATTTCAGCATTATTTCAGACTATAAGAAAATTATGTTGTACGATTCTCAGATGGAATGCAAGTTTTTTCCCTAATTTATTTAAACGAATTTCAATAACCACGAAAACATCAATAATTCATTTTTTAAAGATTTTTCATCTAATTTGAGGGAATATTATTATTTCAAAAAATAGTGTACTCTTGTTATTCATAACGCTTGCTGCTCGAAAGCCCTATAATAATTATATCTTGTTTACAGATACGTGAGTTCGCTCCAGTTTAGTGCGGAAAAGATTCTGAGGGGAACAAATGGCATGCCAAAGAGAATGTTTTCTGCTACTCCCAACGGAGTCTTGAATGGATCCATCATCAATGAAGAAGACGGTAAGTCTAGAGTTTTAGATAGGCTAAAAACATAGGAAGGCGCTAATCAAGGATTTTTTTGAGATCATTGCTCATTTTTTGAGGTCGACCAAATTAGTTATAAAATTAGCTCTCCTAAATACTGAAAACCTTATGCAACCAAAAACAAAAATACCGGCATTTTGTTCAAACCAATTTGCTCAGGATTATAAAATTAGTCCTACGCGAAAAGTTCCATGTAATACAGCAGCTAATGCAGGCGGCTGTTTGCTTTTCCAATATTACTAAATGATTTTTCGATCAGTTTTCTGTGTGAAACAAATTTTTGGCTTTTCGAGATGCAATCAAATAACATCTGCGACCAATTGTCGTCTTATAGAAAAAAAAACGCCATTGTTGATTTTTGAGCGTTCATCGCCCAAACTACTGATCTCCCCTTTCTTTCCATATCGGTAGTTTTATTTTAAAATCCATAATTAGAGTCAATTTCTGAGAGGGATAGAAAAACCATATTCCATTTTTTTTTCTGAAAAACTTTTTTCTCCGCCGCGGATAAGTTATTTGCTTCTACTGATCTAAATGGTATGAACATGACGCGAGAAACGCAACTGAAGCAACTGAACATGAAATGCAAATTGAAGGTGAATTCAAAACATTCCAAAAAAAATATTAAATCAATTAGAATGAGTTGGTCGATCAGAACTTTTAATGGGAATTTTTACAAATTCTGAGAAAATTCAGAATAAAATCAAACAGAGCTTACAGCAGGAGGCTTTGGTTTTAGAACCGTTTTTGTTACAGAAAAACTATATAAAGGTAGTTGTATTTGTTTCGACTACTTTTATCCTATTGGAAAAAATTAACGCCCCGACCTGACAATCAGTGCAAATTGTTCGCATTAAGTTATCGGGTTACATTCAATTGTTTTATTGGTGGAACAGTTGGATAAATTTTTGCTGGTTTTAAAGCTATTTTTTATATTGCTGAACACGTAAGCGTGAAATATTTGAACACCTCAAATCATTCAGTTTCGAATTATCTTTTAAAAAGAACCGAGGCAAGCTATTTGCCTTTATACGCTGGGCCAAAAAGGGGCTTAGAATATAATCCACCAGGACAAAATCCTGTAGGATAAAACCCCGATATTTTAATTCAGTATCAAGTTGTATACAAAATATGATTTTAGTTTGCTATTCATTCCATTTTGAAATGATTTCTAATTAAACATGCCTGGCGATTTTGACGTGACTTTTCCACAACCTTTCAACTGTAGGACAGTTGAATGGAAAATAATGTTCATTTCTGCAGCGTGCGTTCGATTCCCAAATGTCACATTTTGTTTAATCGATAAAAAGGTGTTGAAATTACACTTCTGGGGTCAACAGTCCCCCTTTTGCACCAAAGTGGGGATGCCGCAATGAGAATGTGTGAAAGGAAATCCCCAATTCCTAGAAAAGCATCTTTTTAATAGTGCCTAAGCTTCAGACCTCCAGGAACGTTGATTTTCGAGGGTATCAAAAACCGGAACCTAATTTAACCATTATTGATGTTGCCTGATGAGCAAATTAACACCAAATCTAGACCTAGCAAATCAATTAGCTTAAAAAATGAGATGCCAGTTTGCATTGTCGCAATATAATCCAGCGTTAGCAAATAAACTTTTGCCTCTTGAAGCAAAGTTTTGTTCAGTGTGTAAAGCACGAGCAACTTATAAACTACCGAGTCATTCAAAAAATTATGAAACAAAATAACAAAATCAAATTTCAGTAACAAAAGGGGCTAGAAAACTCATCACAATAACAACGCTTAATTAAAAAAAATAAGAGTATTTCAGTTCTATTCAATGAAGTGCGAGTTGGGTCAATCAAAGCAACAGTGTAGCGAAAGCATAAGGACTTCAAAAAGCAAACTTCTCAAGTCGTTGCCACATGAGCTCACACAGGCCCTAATATGCTCTAACGGAAAAGTATGCCACTAATGAACAGATCAAAGTGGACGCAATGGCATGCACGAAGTCTTCCATACAAATGATGCTGTCAAGTCCCCTTGCAAAAGCCACATCATAAGCTCCTCGAAGATGCCGGTAATGCCTCACTTGAATTTAAGCGTCCAAGAATCTGACACAATAATTAAAGCGAGCCACCGATTCCATCAGAGTTCGGCTTTGAACTGCCTTTTGATTACATGCAAACCATGAACGAAGAAAATTTTTTTGTTGAAAGATCGACGGTTCTGGGAAGCGGTAAGCTGTACTTGGTAATTGCAACCAACAAAAACATCAAACTTTCAAAATCTTATGGGAACTAGTTTTCCGATTGTACCTTCAAAAGCTCTCCTTATGAATTCTATCAAGTATACTCTGTCCACTTCTTCGTCAATGGAACAACGTTTTATGTATCTATGCCCTTCTCACCAGTTAACGACAGGAAACGCGTAACGTTTTCCTGTATAACTTGAAATCAGATATCGTGCCCCACAATTCGATCGAGATGATTTTTGAAAAGGTTTGCGGTTTTGTGGGTGATCATTTTGACACAGATATCAAAAAAAAATTCTCGCAACATGTTTATAGAAAAATACTCCATTTTTCGAGGACTTTTTGAGGACACCTTTATAGGCAAATAAAAGGTAATTTTTTCTAGTGGGATTTTTTCCTGGGGGTTTATTCCGCCAGCGCGAAAAACAGTTTTGACAAATATTTACACACGACATCACTTGCTTCTTCTACGCTTGAACATCAATAGTGAAATTAAGTTAAATGTTTAAAATTCAACACAAAAATCAATAGACAATCAATTTTTAAATAATGCAGATGCAAAAAAAACAAAGCTGCTCGTATCAGGGCAAAACCCTAAATGTTTCGATTGCCCTTTAAGTGGTCTCGGAGATTTTGTGATAAAATAAATTTTGGCAAAACAATGATTTGTAGGCTGATAATATCAAAAATTGAATGTTGCATTTTGAGTCGTTTATGAAATTAATAAAATCAGTTACCAGCCTCAGTTCAATTTGGACCAATTTGGTAGTGCGAGGTTTTAAAATAGCAGTTTTAGACATACTCTTGGCAGACTCGGCTGGCCCCATGCAGATAAAGAGATCGATCTCTCGAGAGACCAGTGTTTTGTAAAAGTGGTCTACAAAGAGCATATATATTCCTCACTTTCTTCAAAAGTCGGAACGTTGAATTCGCTTTCCAAGTCGTTCTGAAAATACTTGAGGCAAGTTCGTTGATCTAATTCTATCGTTTACTATTTAACACAGCGTTTTGCTAAACCGTTTTAAGAATAGTGTTTAGTTGTAGACTCAATAAAAAGCCATTGTATTGTTCATGGTTTTGCTCAAATGCGAGCAGTCTTCTTTTTTATGCATCAATCAAAGAAATTTTTTTTTCAATTTTTCCAATTCAGAGTGTTTGTTCAGTCATTTTACTGCTTACTTTTATATTTTCATTTGTATTCTTTTTCAAGTTCATGATGGTCACAAACATTCATGCCCCAACGGACTGTTTTCTTGACATCTAATATTGAGCACTTAGAAGAAAATTCAGAGCTTCTCGGGTATTGATCGACTGTTGTATGTTTTTCTTACTAACTTATTTAAGTAGACCGTCTACTTTCACTCCTGGTTGTCAAAATGTTTTGAAGTTTTCTGGTTTGAAACTATTTTAATACATCCATTTTTGGTTGAAAACTGCCAAAAAGTTTTTAAACGCACCTTTGGAGCCCATATACGCAAAATTTGAAGTGAGCGCCGCAAAAAAAAACTTTGTCAATTTTTTCATAAAGTTTTCATAAACGTCATAATTGGCCCTTTGCCTAAAATATAGCAAGTTTAGGAAAAACTCTTTATAGTGTTTTTGGGTAACACCAAAATTCAAATTATTCTAATTGAAAAGATACTAAGACAAAACGTGTTTTTTTGATCGAAAAGCCATCTCTAGAAAAACTCTCCATTGTAAAAATTCTTACGCAAGCCATCTCAAAAGTTTTTAAAACAAAATAAGCTGGAAAAGATATAACATTTTAACGGATTGTTAGATACTCAATTTTTCGAGGAATTTTTGAGGACATTTTTATAGGCAAATGAAAAGTTAATTTTTTCTAGAGGGATTTTTTCCTGGGGGTTTATTCCGCCAGCGCGAAAAACAGTATTGACAAATATTTAAACACGACATCAATTGCTTCTTCTAAGCTTGAACTTCAATAGTGAATTTAAGTTAAATGTTTAAAATTCAACACAAAAATTAATAGACAATCAATTTTTAAATAATGCAGATGCAAAAAAGAACAAAGCTGCTCGTATCAGGGCAAAACCCTAAATGTTTCGATTGGCCTTTAAGTGGTCTCGGAGATTTTGAGATAAAATAAATATTGGCAAAACAATGATTTGTCGGCTGATAATATCAAAAATTGAATGTTGCATTTTGAGTCGTTTATGAAATTAATAAAATCAGTTACCAGCCTCAATTCAGTTTGGACCAATTTGGTAGTGCGAGATTTTAAAAAAGCAGTTTTAGACATACTATTGGCAGACTGGGCTGGCCCCATGCAGATAAAGAGATCGATCTCTCGAGAGACCAGTGTTTTGTAAAAGTGGTCCACAAAGAGCATATATATTCCTCACTTTCTTCAAAAGTCGGAACGTTGAATTCGCTTTCCAAGTCGTTCTGAAAATACTTGAGGCAAGTTCGTTGATCTAATTCTATCGTTTACTATTTAACACAGCGTTTTGCGAAACCGTTTTAGGAATAGTGTTTAGTTGTAGGCTCAACAAAAAGCCATTGTATTGTTCATGATTTTGCTCAAATGCGAGCAGTCTTGTTTTTTTTATGCATCAATCAAAGAAATTTTTATTCAATTTTTCCAATTCAGAGTGTTTGTTCAGTCATTTTACTGCTCATTTTTATATTTTTATTTGTATTCTTTTTCAAGTTCATGATGGTCACAAACATTCATGCCCCAACGGACTGTTTTCTTGACATCTAATATCGAGCACTTAGAAGAAAATTCAGAGCTTCTCGGGTATTGGTCGACCATTGTATGTTTTTCTAACTAACTTATTTTAGTAGACCGTCTCCTTTCACTCCTGGTTGTCAAAATGTTTTGAAGTTTTCTGGTTTGAAACTATTTTAATACATCCATTTTTGGTTGAAAACTGCCAAAAGTTTTTTAAACGCACCTTTGGAGCCCATATACGCAAAATTTGAAGTGAGCGCCGCAAAAAAAAACTTTGTCAATTTTTTCATAAAGTTTTCATAAACGTCATACTTGGCCCTTTGCCTAAAATATAGCAAGTTTAGGAAAAACTCTTTATAGTGTTTTTGGGTAACACCAAAATTCAAATTATTCTAATTGAAAAGATACTAAGACAAAACGTGTTTTTTTGATCGAAAAGCCATCTCTAGAAAAACTCTCCATTGTAAAAATTCTTACGCAAGCCATCTCAAAAGTTTTTAAAACAAAATAAGCTGGAAAAGATATAACATTTTAACGGATTGTTAGATACTCAATTTTTCGAGGAATTTTTGAGGACATTTTTATAGGCAAATGAAAAGTTAATTTTTTCTAGAGGGATTTTTTCCTGGGGGTTTATTCCGCCAGCGCGAAAAACAGTATTGACAAATATTTAAACACGACATCAATTGCTTCTTCTAAGCTTGAACTTCAATAGTGAATTTAAGTTAAATGTTTAAAATTCAACACAAAAATTAATAGACAATCAATTTTTAAATAATGCAGATGCAAAAAAGAACAAAGCTGCTCGTATCAGGGCAAAACCCTAAATGTTTCGATTGGCCTTTAAGTGGTCTCGGAGATTTTGAGATAAAATAAATATTGGCAAAACAATGATTTGTCGGCTGATAATATCAAAAATTGAATGTTGCATTTTGAGTCGTTTATGAAATTAATAAAATCAGTTACCAGCCTCAATTCAGTTTGGACCAATTTGGTAGTGCGAGGTTTTAAAAAAGCAGTTTTAGACATACTATTGGCAGACTCGGCTGGCCCCATGCAGATAAAGAGATCGATCTCTCGAGAGACCAGTGTTTTGTAAAAGTGGTCCACAAAGAGCATATATATTCCTCACTTTCTTCAAAAGTCGGAACGTTGAATTCGCTTTCCAAGTCGTTCTTGAGGCAAATTCTATCGTTTACTATTTAACACAGCGTTTTGCGAAACCGTTTTAGGAATAGTGTTTAGTTGTAGGCTCAACAAAAAGCCATTGTATTGTTCATGATTTTGCTCAAATGCGAGCAGTCTTGTTTTTTTTATGCATCAATCAAAGAAATTTTTATTCAATTTTTCCAATTCAGAGTGTTTGTTCAGTCATTTTACTGCTCATTTTTATATTTTTATTTGTATTCTTTTTCAAGTTCATGATGGTCACAAACATTCATGCCCCAACGGACTGTTTTCTTGACATCTAATATCGAGCACTTAGAAGAAAATTCAGAGCTTCTCGGGTATTGGTCGACCATTGTATGTTTTTCTAACTAACTTATTTTAGTAGACCGTCTCCTTTCACTCCTGTTTGTCAAATGTTTTGAAGTTTTCTGGTTTGAAACTACTTTAATACATCCATTTTTGGTTGAAAACTGCCAAAAGTCTTTTAAACGCACCTTTGGAGCCCATTTACGCAAAATTTGAAGTGAGCGCCGCAAAAAAAAACTTTGTCAATTTTTTCAAAAAGTTTTCATAAACGTCATAATTGGCCCTTTGCCTAAAATAAAGCAACTTTAGGAAAAACTCTTTATAGTGTTTTTGGGTAACTCCAAAATTCAAATTATTCTAATTGAAAAGATACTAAGACAAAACTTGTTTTTTCGATCGAAAAGCCATCTCTAGAAAAACTCTCCATTATAAAACTTCTTACGCAAGCCCACTGAAAGTTTTTAAAACAAAATAAGCTGGAAAAAATATAACATTTTAACGGATTGTTTGATGAGTTTGTATATTTGGTGCTGAATTTTCATTGCCATAATTGGCTCTATCTGAATCAGAAGATAACCAGTTTGTATTCTTGCGTGATATCTTGCTCTTGGTCATCGTTGAGGTTCCCTTCATTGTGCTATTTTTCCAGATTCAAAGATTTTCGTTTCAATCCATTTTCAAATATAATCAAAGATCTCACCATGGTGGTGAAACATCTTCTCAATGTTTGCCGTCTTGTACCAAGTAAAGAAAAAAAACTCAATCTTGAAATGCTGGTTATAAACTCGCACAGGACTAGAATTATAATCTAGGCATTCTTTTTCTGTCGACTTTTTTTTTGTCTTCACTGCCAGTATTATAAGCCGAGATAGCCGATATTTTTGCATTCAGATTATGAATTTTTGGTTCTTCATTATTGCTCCGACTTTGGAAGAAAATATTTGTGCTCAGTGCAATTTTGTAAAAATCTCGATCTAGTTTTTTTCTGTACATAACATTTTAAGTGTTTTATTTTATCTACACAGTTGAAATGAGTTTATAATTGTCTTTTAATACGCATTCGTGCAATAATTTGCATTCAGACCTGCATTTTGTAAAATTGATCAAATTTTTGTTTCAGAAAATTTATTTTTGAATTTCATCGCTTAGAGGGAGTACAACCAAAAAAACTTTCGAAATTTAATACTTTAGAATAGTTAACGCTTAATTTGTTTGTGCTATTAACGTTTAATCGGTGATTTGATCCGTCTCAGTATTAGTTCCGATTTGTTTAGTCCTAATAATATGTTTCTAGACAATAAATTTGTCACTTAATATTTTAAGGTTGCAGGACAACCAACTTTATTGCAATTTATCCTATTTAATTTTACCTTACGCCAATTTACCTACACCTAAATTAAGACCGAATGATAGCAACAAAATGGTGATCGACGCAGTCGCGCCAACGCGTTGCGAGCTTGCCTACAGAGGGTAGGACTCTAAATGAAAATTAGAGCCGGTCATCGCCACGAAGTGGCAACCCGCGCGTAGCGCACCCACTGGCAACCTCAAACCAAAATAGTCAGCTCATTTATCGCTGAGCAGTTGAACTATTTGTAGAAGATAGAGTAAATTGGCATCGGTTGAATCGGGTAGATCATCATGGAACCGTATTTTAAATAGCGTGCTAGGGACTGGACTTGCCCTCATACGAACAGTCTTGTTTTTCCGACTTTCGTAACAAAAGTAACGGAATATTTGTGTTCGGGGTTGGTTTTTTCTTTGGACAATGTTCGATTGTTTAACTAGCCATTTTCGACCGAATTTTAAAATATCAATCAAAAAACGTTGTTGTCCTGAGCTTAAATTTGAAAAGATATTTCACCTGTGATCATTTTTCGTAAAGTTATGGGGGTTTAAAGATTGCCATTTTGGCCAATTTGGGACAATTGACGCGCGATATATTTCGCACTATTAACGTGTAAGCGAGATTTATTCCGTCCTAGAAATTGTTCCAAATTGGTTCAGGGACGCTTATATGCCATAATTGATTTGTTAATAGGAGCAAAATTTATGACTTTTTTTACTACATTTGTTTTTTTTTCATGTTATTACTGCTCCATAGACCTTAAAAGGCAGTCGGAACACTCGAGACTTCGCCCTGATACGAGCAGTCTTGCTTGTTTTATTTTATGTTTTGATTTTACTTACATGGACAAAAATGGATTTTTTCTAGCTTCGGACTGTAAACGTTGTTAATAGGTAAACGCTGCAAAAAAAGTGTAAACGTTGTTAATAGGTAAAATTAAATTGAAGATGAAATGTCAAAGGGGGAAAGGAATTAGTTCTGTTAAAAAAATCGAAAACTTAATGAATTCGGAAATTTATGCACGGAATTGTATAATAATTGATTTTTCGTATGGAGGTCAACACGGGTATCTGATATTCTCATGACTGATTTTCGAGAAGTTGTTTTGTGCATTTTTTTCATTTTCTAATTACCCGTAACATAAGCTGTGAATTGAACCGGCTCAGAATTTGCTCCAAATTGAATTGAGGAAAATAAATAATTTGGATGTCATGACATAGGGCATGGGATAAGAAAAAAAGTCAATTTTTGCGACCAACTACTCTTTTGTACGTTTTAAAATGCTGTCATATCATTCAGAATTTTGCCCTTACATGGAAAGTCTTGTATACCTGTTAATGTGATATTTAATTGTTGTTGAGTGCAAAACGGCTAAGAGTGTTGTAGAAGTCGTGGAGCAACACTTATATTATTGAATTTGCATGGAAAAGCCTTCATTTTAAACGGTTTGTTTTTTTAAAAAATGGGCGAATCATCCAGGTTCATATTATGCAGATCAGGAGTTCGAAACTCAGTCTACCCGCTCTCACCACGGGATGATGTCTCCTCCCAATGGCCCTGCCTCGTTACGGATGGCGAAACATCGCCCAATCCACAACTCACTTCCCGAGGGGATTGACAATGTCGGGGGGTACTCAACTCCCCCCAAATTGTGCAGTCGACACATACATGCACAATCTCGCATTCACGAAAATGGCATGCAGGTGAGTTTTAAAAAATGTTTCCACAAACACAGATAATCGATTTCGCCCTCGAATATTCGCAGAGGAGTTAAAGCAATTTGAACTATGTTTTCACAATGAAAAAACAGCTATAAGCCGTTTGGATTCAGTGGTATCAAAAATTCCGAATCACTAAAACGAACTTCAAATTTTGGAGTGGAAAATCATAAATTGTTCAGTTAGGGGACATATTAACTTAATTCAAGTATTTGTTAACGCCCCTTGCATCTTCATTTTCGTAGACCAGACTGAACCGTCCCTCAAATTCAAATAAATATGTAGCTGTACTTCTAATTTTGGATTGATTGCTTCAAAGATATTTTATGTATAGACAGTACATGTTTACTATTTTTGTTTTGGTCGGCGCTCATTTGTGCGCACAATTACTACTCATTTGAACACTTTCAAGAACTTTTGAACTAACTGTGAAACTGTGTTTATAAAACGTGCGGCTAAAGTTGTTCAATAATGAATGATTCTCATTATACAATACACCAGTTTGAAAATTCTCAATATGATTTTCCACCGCCGGCTGAAGATTTCTCCTTGTCCAATAAGTCCAGACCAAAATTGCTTCAGGAGAACGCGGCGTTGCGAGCCGAGAAAGAGTCGCTGAAAACTCGTTTGGAAAATCTGGAAGTGCAGTTACGACAGGCGAGAGAATCTGGACGGAACTCGGCGGAAGAAATAACGAGGTAATTTAAAAAGCAGTTGTACACACTTCAGATTTTTTAAACTAATTATTGAAAAACGAAACAGGTCAAAAATGCCGTTTTCGAGGACTTTATGAAATTTGTACAACAAAAATTGCGTTTTTTGGCGCGCGCGCTCCTCAAAACTATTATATGTTGTTCTCAAGGCTGTTTAGCAGTTTTTTGGGGCGATTGACAAAAATGCTTGTCTCAAAATAGTACCAATTTGATGATTATTTGCGTGGGCAATATTGCCAACCCTTAGGGGAGGGCTAAAACTGCTTAGACAAAAAGATTAATATCGATTTGCTGACATATCGAGCTAAGATATATCTGAGCATAATCTAATTCAATTTTTTTGCATGCTTCTGAAATTGAGGTAGATAGCTAATGAATTAAAAAATTCAATATTAAAGCAATCAATTGCTTTCAATAGTATTATCTTCAAAAGAAAATTTATTCGAAGAAAATTTTTCTTTGGTTTTTCAATTTTTCAAAATTATTTAATTTCTTTAGCTGCATAACAGCTTTTGCGTTTTTGTCCGCTCAGTTTGTATGTATTTATCAGTTATTTTTTAATCTACTTTCTAAATTATTTCCGGTCAGTTTCATAGAAATCTGAGGTTTTTTGTTAACTTGTCTTCTCAAGTTTAAAAAAACTAATTTTTTCTTCTTTTTGTATCGCAAAAATTGAGTGCCAAGCAAGTGAGCCACATCAAATTAGTCACAATGTAGCCTGGTTCTAGAATATTTTGTCATTTCTCCTTTGGAATAAAATCCGAAATCATGCGTTACGGATCTCAGTGCAAGAATTTCTTTTAACACGCGTTTATAGGTTACAAGGTGATAATTGGGTTCCTAGAAAAAGCAAATGAATGAGATGACACCTGTCAGTTCCCGCAAAGGAACGAAAACGTAAGAAATCAAATGTAAAGGTACATACTGCTTCCGAAGATCTTAAGGCCCATAATTGTTTCTCCGGGAACCCGTCTGTACTTCAAGGACTCAACTGAAATATTTTTGTACCAACAAGAGTTTCTGTGTAGGTTAAACTTGCTGTTGGAGGGCAAGTACAAGCCAATGGAGAGGGAACTGCATAGAGTGAAGAGTGACCTGCAGGGCTTCAAGAGTGAGAAGGAGTTCCAGATCAACCAGGATGCTAACACTCTACAGTAGGTGTAACTCTACAAAAGAGAAATAAATTTGAAGTCCCTGTGATTTTGTGTATTGAACCCATTCAAAAAAAAAATCAAAGTCCAAACGATTTTCGGGAAATTTTTTTCAGCGCAAAATTGATCGATTCAATGCTCAGAGTTTTTTAGAGAAACAATGGCAGATTTCAAAACAATTTTTCTTGATCCAATTTTCACAAATTCAATAGCACGTGTGATACCGCTACTGCAGTAGCAGTATTTATATACGTATGTACAGCTAACCTTTGGTGCTCAATCATTATTTTATGGTATGCTCAAGGTCATACGTAAGTGATGACACTGAGATCAAGCGAGAGATCAGAGTTCTTAACAATGATCTATCTCTCAGTACAACAACAAAACAAAAGAGACAGAAAACCTAAATTCAATATCCAAAATACAGTATTGAATCACAACTTGTTTTCAATCGATATCGCAAGGCATATCACATGGCGCAGCCAGCAGGATTCGCAGCTCAAGACAACAGAACGGATATGGGAATTCCGGTATTTTGGGCATCAGCGAATCTAGACCCTCCGTGGCAATTTAAAATTTGGTTCGAACAATTTCTCATGGCGGTTACGGTCAAAGAAAATGTGAACCCAGAGATTATTTTGGAAGAACCAAAAGACATATTCGAGGAACCACCACCACGCCCGGAAACGCCCAGGGATGGGGAGAACGAAGATGCGAGGAACGCTAGGATTCTTAGAGATAAGCTAGCAAGGGATAGAGTAGTATTGGAGAACGAAGACAGAAAGACAAGAGGCCCACGAGTCGGACACAATGTCTTCTACAACGAAGTACAAAAGAAACTGGTGTCAAGATTATTTTTATCTTTGGGTACAGAGGGAAAGAAGAGATTCCTACAAAAGAACCCGCACGTTGAAATATCGAAAATGACGTTCAGGGAAATAACAGATTTGGCAGAAGTCTCGTTTCAAAAGGTAAAATGTGTAATATACGAAAGATACAAGTTATTTACGAGAATGCAAGAATCTGGAGAATCTCTAGAATCATTCCACGCAGCGTTAACTGCTCAAGCAGCCCGATCAGAACTGGGAGCATTGGAAAATGAAATAGTGCGAGACCTGTTCATCTCGAAAATGAAAAACATGACCTTGCAGGACACGTTGACATTCGAAACTCTAGATCCGGTGGAAGTTTTAAAAAGGGCTATAAAATTCGAACATAGCAAGTTAACCACAATGGCGTTTCAGAAGACTAATGCTGCGGCTACAGGGGGATCAAGTAGCAATTACACCTCGGGTGTGAGGGTAAAACAGGAACCTGTAATGGCAGTTCGAAATTTGGGGGGGACAACCAAAACTCCAAATAGAAGAGAAACGCATAAAAGACAGAATAATAACAAGAATCAAAACACGAAAACAAAACCATGTAATAGATGTGGAAGGACGTTTGAACAGGGACACCTAAAAAAATTGTCCAGCGATGGGGAAAACCTGTAAACACTGTGGTAAACCCAATCATTTCGCTAAAATGTGCAGATCCCAACAAGGAAGTGAAGTTGCGGAAGAATCGGAAGGATCGGTAGAGGAATGCGATCAGATCAGTGAAGGTGTTGGGTCATGTAGTGAATTTGAAGTTATGTCGATACAAACCTACCAACCGGAAAATGAGCGAGTTTCAAAATATGTGAAAGACCGAATCAACGAAATGAGAAACATACCAGACGGAAAAGTGGTACGAGTTCAGAAAATAGATTCGATTCGCGATCCAACATTGAATCGCGTAAAATCACTAAAGGCAATGGTACGAATAGATAATCAGATAATTCAATTAACAGTGGACACTGGAAGTCCTGTTTCATTTCTCAACTGGGCCACGACAAAGGAAATTATGGAAAAATCAAACAAAGTGAGATTCATACCGTCCGATAAATTGAACTTACAAACCAAATTTGTGGACTACAATAAACAACCGATCAGTATTCTGGGAGCCCTAAAAACCAATCTGAGGTCAGCGGGCTGGGAAGTAAAGGGCGCAACCTTTCTGGTATCAGAACGAAAAACCAGATGCATCATGGGATTAGACCTGCAAGGACAAGTGAGAATAGTGACTACACAAAGATCAGCGCCAAAAGAACTCACCAGGTTTGACGTGCTCATGTGCGAGCAGTCAGAAGGTTGGAAAGAAAAATTTTTCACTAAATTTAAAAACTTATTTGAAAGACAAGGCATTTCGAAAAATCACATTGTCAGTTCAAAATTTAAATATCCATTATGTCCGATCCAAGAAAAGGGGAGAAGAATCCCAATTCACATACAAGATAAAGTCGAAAAAGAAATCGAGAAGTTGTTGACAGAAGGCCATATAACAAAACTTGATAAATGTACAAGTGATTGCTTTATCGCTCCAATTTTGATAACAGTAAAGAAAGACGACTCAATAAAATTGGCAATGGATGCAAAACCAATCAATAGACAATTGTTCAAAAACAAATACCAAATGCCAAATGTAGATGAACTTATTGATGGGGTAAGCCAGATTGTTACCAAAAACAAAAAGGGTACGCTATATTTTTCGGTGTTAGATTTGAAATATGCGTACAGTCAATTAAAATTGGCTGCTGATACAGCTAGGCAATGAAATTTTAACATTGTTGGCGGAAAAGCAACTGGAACTTACAGATTCTTGACAGGGTTCTATGGTCTAGCAGATATGCCAGCTGAATTTCAAAAGGCCATGAATAGAACCATCAACCACGCTAAAAACACGTTCTGTTTTCTGGATGACATGCTTATTGTGTCAAAGGGAAGTGAAATCGAACATGCAAACTTAGTAGAAGCAGTATTAAAGAAATTGGATGCAGAAAATTTGGCATTGAAACTATCAAAGTGTGAAATTTTCAAACAAGAAGTGAATTGGTTGGGTCATCATCTCTCAGAAGAAGGGGTTAGACCAAAAATCACTAAAACGGAAGCGGTAGTAAACTTGAACACGCCGAAATCTCTAAAGCAACTAAGGTCATTCTTGGGAAGCATAAATCACTTAGCTAAATTTATACCTAACGTAGCAAGTCTGACTGAGAGATTAAGACCACTTCTTAAAGAAGAAAATCAAAAGAAAAAGTTAAAAAACATGAAACTCCCGGTGAAAAAATTCGAATGGGGAGATGATCACACAGTAGTATTTAATGCTATAAAAGAGGCTGTGGCAAATATTACGAAAGTACACTATTACGATGCAAATCGTGAAACACGAGTTAAATGCGATGCTAGCCATGATGGGCTAGGGGCTACTTTAGAACAACAAAATGATGAAGAGTTATGGGTCCCAATTTCGTTCGCATCCCGATACTTAAACGCCCAAGAAAAAAATATTCAACAAATGAGTTGGAGTTATTGGCAGTTGTTTGGGCAGTAGATAGATATAAACACTACCTTCTGGGGAAACCATTTACCATCGCAACTGACCACAAAGCGCTTACAACAGCATTGGATGTTAACCAATCGAACAAGACCTACCGATCACGTTTAACCCGGTGGGTTGACCGGTTACTGCCATATCAGTTCAACATAGTTCACATTTCGGGGAGGGATATGGGCATAGTTGATTATTTATCGCGTGATCCTTTCAATGATCCCTGGCCCGAATCAGAATTAGACGAAAAGTTTGTAGTAGCGACAATAAACTCCTTTCATGAAGCGTTCGACTGCTGGAACAGTAGGCTTAAAGAATCAAGGTCGCTCAACCGGAACGAAAACGTTCTAGAATGTTCTAGAAGGAATTCTAGGAAACAGTCATCAAGTAATGGTTGCTATAGCAACCAAAACGGTCAAAACCGAACAAAACTCGACCGGAACGAGAGAAAACAGTTTCCACGACTGCAAAAACAGCTAAACACAACAGTTCACCAAAAACAAATCACTCTTCGTCAAATCAACCCAGCAAACAGTCAGTCTTAAATAATTGCAAAATCAAAAAACGACCAGTACTGAGAAAAAGAGAAAAAACAGACTCAAGGATCGAGATGTCAGGAAATGAAAACAGATCATAAGACTGGTGGTCGAGCTCACCACAAGATTGGCGGAAGGAGGAGCGCGAAGAAAGTCTAATGGACCCAAAGTGGAACCGATCACTTTCCAACACTAACGAACTCTCGGGAGAGGAGGAGATCACAGAGACAGTTCAACGTACGAGAAAAATAATGCGAGGGGGCCGAAAAAATAGGGACAGCTCCGACAGCGAAACACGTCATGCACAACGAGTAAAATGGTCGTTGGAACCGGACCAACAAAGAATAGCGGATCAAAGACTGCCCTCATTCTGGCAGTTAATAGCCGGAGATAACAATGTTCAGGAAAATAAAGAACTGGTGGCTCATACCCAAGAAGTCAGCGACAGCTTGGAACACGAATCGAGTTCAACATCGCCTAAACCGATCTCATCGGCGGAACGGAAACTCAGTGAGGTGAATGTAATAGAAGTGGACCTGACAACCACAGAGGAGGCGGAGAGTGAGGAGGAAGTGTGCTCAATTCAACCGCCAAAGGGACTGGGCAAGAGACTGCAAAAGCAGCAACAAGTAGAGACCCTGGACAACCTCGCAAAACTGTTCGACAAAAACTTACTAGCAGAATTTACCACAGAAGACACGTGGATGGACCGCCTCAGGCGAGTGGTAGAGAGAGGAGACAAACAAGGGTTCGAATTGATGGGACCTTATACAAATCCGTTGTGGTCACAGATGGCAGTTCAGGACGACTGCATCTTGGTGAATAATCGGCTAGCAGTACCAATTCAACTAAGACAAGCTGCCCTGAAACGAATACATCGAGGGCACCCAGGACAGGAAGCTATGTTGGGAGCAGCGCAATATCTGTGGTGGCCACACATGAATAAGGACATTGTGAATTTGGCAGAGGAGTGTCGTAGCTGTACCAGATATGGTAAGAATGTAAAATACCTTATTTCGAAAAATTCGTCAAAACCACTGCCACTGCTCACGCAGCCGGGACAGGAGGTACAACTAGACTACGCGGGGCCTATAGAAAATCAAAAAGGAAAAAAAATCTACCTTTTAGTAGCTATAGATCGATTCTCGAAATTTCCATCAGTGAAGGTTACAAAATCCACAAGTGGAAAGTGCACAGTAAAATTCTTGAGATCATATATCGACACACATGGAGTCCCTGAATCAATTCGTTCGGACCAATTTTCAGGCTTTAAGGGAAAAACTCTAAAAAAAATTCTGTTCGGAACTCAATATCGAGCAAAAATTCTGTCCGGTGGGGTTTGGTTGAACGTACAATTCAAACAATAAAAAGAAGACTGGGAGTGATGATGCTCGAATAAAATAATAAATCAATCAACTTATGTCTCAGCACTATAATGAGAGATTTACGGTGGAACAAGCAGAAAACAATTCAAGTATCTTCGTTTCAAGCACATTTCGGCAGACTACCAAAATCAGAATTTAAAATTGTGAGGGATAGGTTTTTAAATAATTCTGATTATTTAGACAAACAGCACTTGGAACGCTCAGCATTGACGGCCTCTCAAATGAAACGGAGAATTGACCAGTCGAGAGAGAATCTAAAAATAGTGCGCAAGGGACAACTGAGCAGGGATACAAGCCCACTGCACAAGCAGCAGCTAACATCGGACAGAGACAAAGAAAGGGCCAAAGCTCTAAAGGAATTGTTGGAGGCGAACGCCCGCTGGAACTACGAAAGAAGGGACGCGGCTAAAAACGACAACAGGAAATTAGTGGACGAGACAGGGCAACTCAATCCCGATCTTCGAAAGGAAATGATCTACTCTTGGGAGAAAGGATTTGTGGAGGACAAAGTAGAAAATCAATGTAAATCACCACCAAAGACAATACTTCGAAAGGATCCACTAAGGAAAAGCGGACAAGCCTTAACCAGACCACTAAAGGGGAAAATCGCTTCAGAAACGGACTCAACAATTAAGACATCGGCCGGTTCGATTTATAGGAAATCGGATATAGCCCAATCAAAAACGGTACTGACGCAAGAAAATCAGCGAAGCACAAGTAAAAGTCCATCGTCGGAACCTACAAAAAAGTTTAAGCGAATCAGTTCTCCAGAACTACTAGAGGAGATGGAATCGGAGGACGAACTTCAAGGAGAAATGGAAATTGCAGAAGCAATGAATCCAATAAAGCGCTTTCAGAAGAGCCAAACTTCAAGGGACACAGAAGCCGGGGGAGGCTTGAATCTTGCATTCAAAAGAGCAAAACCCAATTTGGCGGGCCCAAAACCAAATACAGAGGAAAACAACATAAACAAGCCGGAGAAGAGCGGAAAGGAAAAGAAAGGCCGCAGCAAGAAACAACAGGGGACAAATCAAGCTGCGACTGCAGCCAACCCGGAACAAGAGCAAGCAACATCTAAGCCGGAATCAGAAACAGTAGATATCAAAATTCAGTCAAGTTCTACTCCGAAAGCAAAACAGCGTCCGAAACTGAAATGCATTGATTCTCACACTCCTCTAGAAGATATAGTTGACACATTTCACAATCGCAATTTGGCACCGTCCGAATGGGAGAAGTACGCGGACCAATTGCTAAAAAGAGGAGTGCAGCGAGTTGCGGATGAACTTCGAGAAAATCCTCAACAGAGCTCGGAATTGGACACAAACTTCGAACCACCACAAGGATTTTCGGACGAATCAAGTACGGAAGAGTCAGGTATTAGACGAAGTTCTAGACAAACGAAAAACAAAGAACCCAAACGATTCGGAGATCCGATAAAGCATTCAATCAAAGAAATATCAGAAAACCTTACAGGAGGAGGTCTTTTAAAGGAGACATTTAAGGAATACAGAAATCAACTGAGAGATTTCAAAGATCGGGATCACAGACCATTGGAATCGAAAGTGCGACGACTCGAAAGACATCTGTTTATGCGAAAATTCGGATACGCTTACTTTAGACGAGGGAGTAGATTGGAACCCGAGTTGGGAAATAGAGCTGGAGGAAAACTGAAAAATTACGTAATCCAAACTCGTCACTTCTCCAAAGAGACTTCCTTTTGAACTGAGTAAATTAAACTCTTTTTAAATAAATTATCCTACTGATGTTGTATAATTTATTTCTTCCACCGAGGGGGGTGTGTCATACCGCTACTGCAGTAGCAGTATTTATATACGTATGTACAGCTAACCTTTGGTGCTCAATCATTATTTTATGGTATGCTCAAGGTCATACGTAAGTGATGACACTGAGATTAAGCGAGAGATCAGAGTTCTTAACAATGATCTATTTCTCAGTACAACAACAAAACAAAAGAGACAGAAAACCTAAATTCAATATCCAAAATACAGTATTGAATTACAACTTGTTTTCAATCGATATCGCAAGGCATATCACAGCACGTTATCATAAAATGATTACTTTTCTTAAGTTTCAATGAACGTAGCAAAGACACTTATATGTACTGGGTGGCATTAAAAACGCATCGTCAAAAAAGGAACAATAACTTTCCTCGAAGTAAGACTGGTTGAAAAGTATGTGATATTTTGTGAAATGACGCATTTGAAGCAAACATGATTATTTTTCAGCGACTACTTTGCATTTGATTCGTTGCTAAATTCTAGTTTTTTTGAACGTTTAAACCCAACTTTTGCTGAATTTAACTTAAAATTACCGATATTGATTCAAATTATGTCCTCAACTCAATTTAGATTATTGACCTCAAATAGTTTTTTTTGTGACTGTGACTGAAACAAGGTTGAAAATTGTATTTTGTGAATTAAACTAGTTAAAACATCAGCCATTTTGCGGTCTTGGTTTTGATTTTTCAGTGTCAACGAGCATACTGAGGACACTTATTTGATCTAGGTCGTAATGAAAAATTTTCATTTTTTCAGGAAAAAGTTATGATTAGTTCATGCTCAAATTTTTAATTCAAATCCTTTCCTTGTTCAAAAAACAAAATTAAAAAGATCGAAAAATTGAAAACCGCGATGTAATTTCAAAATTCCCGGCCTAAAAAAAATTTGAACCAATTTTCGCTATTTTGTTGCGTTCTACGAAAAAAAAAATCAATAAAAAATTGTTTCTTAAGTTCGAACAGTCTGAAGGTCATGTATTTTTTCTGTTAAATTCGATAGTTGAAACTTTTTCAAAAATTTTTTCTGGAAAACTTTTTCTGGTTCCTTGCTTTCGGGCCTGTTTTATTTTTCTGGTTCTTTGCTTTCAATGACAAGTTTCCACACGACTGTTCTCTGTTTTCACACATGCGTAGCGTTGTGCGATACTACAAGGCTACTTTTTGTTTTTCTAACCTAAGTCTCAAATAATAGTGATATGATTGATGGAAACTTTTTGATACAGAAAACTGAATTGGATTTTTAGAGGCATTTGATTACTTATAAGTTAACACAGTTGATGCATGTTTAATTCATCAAGTCAAACCCAAGAAAAGAAAATTATTTGTTTCACACAACGGTACGGTAATAAAACTTTTTTTTTCAAAAATTTTACAGCTGTTTTTTTCGCAAATTTTTTGAAATGCATTATTTAAACACAATTTTGCTTCATACTTTCCAATTGCACGCAAAGTTAGTTTGGTTACCTTTTATTCCAAACTACTACATGCATTTATTTTTGTGCATTTTGAAGCCTTTTTTGCTTTTTTTGCTTGTCTATGGTATCTACAGTAGTCTAAGGTACAATTGTGTTGGGCATTCAACTGGGAAACTTGATATTCGAGAACTGAGGTTCAATTCCCGTAGTTGTTATTTATCTTTCAAATTTCATTAGTTTTTCTTCTTTTTTTTTAGCTCTTTAACTCCTTTTTGAAGCTACGTGGTGAAATTTTTTCACTTGTATTAGCTAAGTGCAGCTTTAGCTCAGTTTTTAAATTCAAATCAACTATATTTGCTAAAAGGAAGGTAAGTTCTGCTTTCGTATAACATAAGATTAAATGGCACGTAAAAACTCGAAGGGGCGTAGTTTCAAAAACTGATTTGAATATTTATTGTTCCAGTTTTCTCACATTATGTTAATATTATGAAAAAATTAAAAACGGCATCATAATTCAATTCGAAAATTCAAAAATCTCCCAGGCGATATTTTTTTGATAATCAAAAGTTGAAAGTTTCAGAAAAATCGTGGCATCAAAAAATCTTTGGGTTCAAATCATGGGGTTCATTTCGATGATATTTTTGATGAATTTTTCCAACTGTCTTCTGTCTATGTTTTTTTTCTTAATATGTCGAATGCGAGGCCTTTTCCCCAAACTTTTGATTTGCTGTCGGATAACTTTGACATATGTCATGGTTCTAGTTTGATTGGTTACCGGGAGCATTGGTATTTCAGAGAACTTCGCCGGGAGCTTGAAAGCACAAAAGAACGACTTCAGTTCATATTGAGGGAAAAATCCGAATTGGAGTACATGAAAAGCGAAAGTGAACGAAAGTCACATGGCTTAGAAGACGACTTGAAACGAGCTCAACGAGAGCTAAACACGATGGAGAAAGAGGTAAACACAAAGGAGAAAGACGTGAACAAACTGAGAGAAGAACGAGACTCAATCATGGAAATTTCCAAGAAAGAATCATTACGTAATAGCGAAGAGATCAGTCGATTGAAGAAACTTTTAGACGAAACTGAAACTAAACTCAAAACTGAAAGTGTCAATTTGAAAATGTTTCATGCGACCGAAATAAAGAAAACTCAGAACCAGTTTACTGAAAACTTGAATCGAGAGTTGAAGAAAAAAGAGGACCAAATTTCAGATTTGAAAGCAGAATTGAAACATTCCATCGACAATCTTGAAGATTTGAAAAAAGAAAACTTGAAAAATAGCTCAAACAGCGAAACTGTAGTTTTGCTCAGAAAAGAGATCGAAAAATGTGAAAATGTAATTCAAGAAATGAAAGAAAAGGCAATGAAAAATGAGTCTTCCTGGCAAGACGAGCTTAGAAGGCTTCAAAAGCAGAATACAGACCTGACCCAAGGAATCGAGCTTGAAAAAGAACGTCAAGAAAACAGAAACTCGCAAAGAATCTTGGATCTCACAAATGGCTTCAAAAGCAAAGAGCGAGAATTGTACGAAGAGCTGAGCCGAGTTAAAGAGCAGTATTCGAAAAACAACGACTCGGTAGTCCGCGAATTTCAGCGAAAATTCGTCGAAAAAGAAACGGAATGCAACAACTTGATGAGAAGCTTGCAGAAACTTGAAAATGATTTCGGAAAAGAACAACAGCTATCGCTTTCGAAATTGGAGAAATTGGAAAATGATAAAGAATACTGGAGGAAAAAGTTCGAACATGAACAAAATAGCCAGCGAGGAAAAATCGATGAAATGAAAAATTCAAAGGATAGAGAAGTTGCAGACCTCCGATCTCAAATGCTGAACATTGAGCAGCAAAAGAATGAAAAAATTAGAAATTTGAAAGACGAGTTAGAAAAACTTCGAAAAACAAGTGAGTCTCAAGTTCAAAAACTTTCCGATCAGCTGAGGGAAAACGCATTCAATTTTTCACAGGAGAAACGAGTTTTGGGTCAAAAACTTGAAAAAACTTCTGATGATTTGGCGCGGACGAAAGATCAGCTGAACGCGGCAACAGTTCACTTTGAAAAGGAAGAAAATAAGCTACATACAATCATTAAAGACAACAAACAAAATTACCTTGCCGAAATCAATGAACTGAAAATTCAGTTTTCGAATGAAAAATCGGCTTTCACGGGGAAACTACAATTAGCCGAAGAAAAACTCTCAACGCAGTTAAAAGAATTTGACGCTCTTAAACAGGAATCGGGAAAATTATCAGAGCTGAAAAAAGAAATTAAATCTTTGAAAGCCGAAGTTTCTACTTTAGCGAGTCAAAAACAACAAACTATCGACGAAAAAGAAAGGGCGATGAGAATAGTAGCTGATGATCATCGGCGAAATTTGGACCAATCAGAGAGGAGAATCGGTGACCTTGAGAATCAAACGGCCAACCAGAGGAAAGAGATAAAGGGACTTCTTGACGATAAAGAAGATCTCAATCAGGTAAATAATATTTGAATACAGGCCAAACAAAACCCACACAAACTAAATAGAGAGAGTTAATTAACTAATGGCATTCAATAAAGCCTCGCACTGATTTTTGTTCCGACTTTCGGGTTGTTTTTTTTCTTCAGACAATTTTCGACTTTTTAACTAGCCTTTTGACTGAATTTTTTAATATCATTCAAAAGGTATTGTTGTCCGGGCTTAAATTTGAAAAGATATTTTTCACCTGTGATTATTTTTCGTTCGTAAAGTTATGAGGGTTTAAAGATTGCCATTTTGGCCAATTTGGCACCCCGGGTTGACCCCCATAGACCAAAAATGCTAGCCATTCAATTCTATAAACTAGGTCTTTGAAAAATTACTAATCATACAAGTTTGATAAACTTTGCTAAAATGGTGTCATCGAAATTTCGAAGAACTTTTTTCTTGTTTCTGGCAAAAAATTAGGTGTATCGTACCAGCTACAAAAGAAAAACTTTTGTCAAAAAATGCTTATCATACAATTTCCATATATGGAAATTGTATGAGTAGCATTTTTTGATGGAGACCACAAAATATTTTTCGCGCTATTAACGCGTAAGCGGAGATTTAATCCGTCGTATAAATGGTTCCAAATTGGTTGAAGGAAGTTTATTTGCCATAATTCATTTACGAGCAAAATCTATCACTTTGTACTTTATATGGCGTGTGGGGGGATGATTTTCGCAAAAATCTCAAACTTAAAAAAATATATATATTTTTTTTAATTCAATTTTTCATGTTATTACTGCTCCATAGACCTTAAAAGGCAGTCGGAATATTCAGGGCCTCGCCCTGATACGAGCAGTCTTGTATATTTTTTACTTAAACTCAGATAATATGGATGTCTCGGCGGATGGTTACTATCCGTTCCAATCCTCGACACACTACTAACCATGGCTCTTGGCAGGATAATCAAAATCCAAAACACCGCTGAGCTGATACCAAGTCATATATTTCAAATTAAGCGCTGGCTCTTTCCCAGTTCCTACCACCCTCGTAAAATTACAAAATAAAGCTGTTCAAAACTGGTTCACATGGTTTTTTGCATGTTGTAAATGTTGTAGAAACTTGTTCACCTCTTGTTCACTTGTAGAAATGCAATTTAACAAGAAAAATCATTTCAAGTAGATTTTCATATTTTAAATTTCTGAAAAAATCAAAGGGGGGAAACTAGAAAAGAGCCAAAGCGCCAGGGCTTTTCAAAAATTAATTGAATTTTAAATTAATTGCAATTAATTGAATTTTTAACTAATTGTTGGGCATGCAATTATTTCAATTAAAATTTTCTCATGCCCAGTTAACTGCAATTAATTGCAATTAATTGTTGTTGAACAGAAGCAAGTTCGTTTGTTAAGCGTTGGTTGTTGAGCAACGAATTACATCTGGCGGTTGATGTAATTGGCCGTCATAGAGAGTTGCTTTCAGATTTAATTATTGGATTTTCGTCGCTGTTGATGCAAAATTCACTTTGTTTTGTGAATCATCCATCAGCATCATGCCACGGAATAACGAACAAATTGTGCATAAATACTTCACGGCGTTGGAGGAAAACGAATGGAAGTGTAAATGTGGAAGAAAGTTATTGCAGAAGAAAGGCACTGGCTGGACTAATTTAAAGAACCGTTTTTTTAGCGTAGCTGGATACGCCTACAACGATCTTCGCAAAAGTCTACTACCAATAAATCTCGAAATGCAACTTTTCCTCAAAGTCAATCACAGATTCTGGAACGAGTCAACCGTGGACAGTCTCGATAGCGACATCTGAACTTTTCATTGATAATTGCAATTAATTGCAGTTTAACTTTTGTTTTTTTCAGTTATTTGATAATTAATTGCTGAACATCCAATTAACTGCAATTTAATTGTTTTGATCTCAATTAATTTTTAAAAAGCCCTGCAAAGCGCTTATAACTGATAGACTAGATCGTTTGGTATCTGCTATTAGAACACTATGTTCAACGCGCAGTCTCTGATCTATCTTTTTGTTTCTAATTTGATTTTCTTTACATTGTCTCGCTTTTTTGTCAATCTTTTTTTTGTCAATATTTTGCGCACGTTTTGTGTATAACAAATGCAATTCATAATTCGCTCTCATCTCAAATTATTTTCACCACGCATTAGCGCCAGGATGCGAAAACACTCCTGAATTAAAATGTGGTAATACTTTCTCTGTTCTTCATTCAAGTTGATTATTAACTTTATATCTTCCCCAAAATTGAAATGTGCGGCACCGACCGTCGGTCCGTACTTCTCACTGTCTCTCTAACCCCTCACTCTTCTCGTGTCCGTCGATAGCGCTACTTGCTGCAGAGGATTAATTCCTGCAGTATTGGGTATTCACTGAAGATCGCTTTGGCTTGCTATTGGGCCTCCGAGCTTCGTTAATGTGTGGATGCTACCTGTACCAGGGCGCGAGAAGCTGATTTTTAAGACTCCTCTTTTCAGCTGAAGAGGGGTAATTTTCAAAGTTCGAGTAGATAATCAATTGAATCCGAAATTTACGATTAAGTAGTAAAGTGATGGTACGAGCGCGGGTTGTTTTACTTATTCCGCCCAAGTTTCCTCATCTCGCGATTTTGTAATATTCAATGTATAAATGCTAAGAAGTACATTCTGATAGGAGGCGGAGCAATAAGCGGAATGGTCCAACAGCATAAAAACAGAAAAATATTGACTTTTATTGGTTCTTACGGGCTAATTGATGAAACAATTATTAGCATCGTCACAAATACCTAGAAAATGAATAAATTATGCGTGAATTAAATAATTTCATTAAGTTTTTTGATTGATTTTCTTAAACTCTTGATTGAATTACTCAAACTGTTCATATTCGTTTCTTTGGTAATATTGACAATTACACTTAATTTACCAATTAGCTTGTAAAAAGTAATGTTTTTCTGCTCTTGTACCCATTCTGCTCTTAGACCATTCTGCTTATTGACTGGCCACCATAGTGATTGCACATGTTAATTTCGTTAATACAACTGCGATCTTTATTCGTAACCCTTTAATACTTTATTCGTGGGTCTAGGACAACAAGCCGACGGGACTTCAAGCCGAAGGGACTTCAGGCCGAAAATTAACCTTTACAAGCACCTCAAATCAATATTTTTTCATCTGTACAACGTTGCTTTTCAAAATCTTACGCTAGTTTAGTAGTCCATAATAAGCGTTATTTATGACAATGAATCACTTAGGATTGACATCCGTTAATAATATCAGCCGGTTTTTGAAATGCATTAATTATAAACAAGAAAGTTGCCTTCCACCGTGTTTTATTTTTCAATTTTCCCAAACATCATTTGGAGGTTTAAATTTTATGAAAACGGTAATAAATACCGACTAAAGATCATGAAAATGAGAAAATCTTCAGAAAAGTGTTCAAATTAATCTTATTTCATGACTTAATGAGAAAATTTTCGGCTTGAAGTCCCTAATTTTACGATTCGGCCTGAAGTCCCGTCGGCTTGATGTCCGGCACCCTTTATTCGTATGCCGACTTCTACCAAGGCCGAGTTTTGAGCAGATATGAAGCTGGTCATTTTTTTCCCTGGAGCTGTTTTCTGTGTTTTTTCTTATCTGGGTAATTTTCTGGAGCGTATTTGAAATGATTTTGAGTAATTTACAAAAATATCCTCATTTTAGGTCAAATCGGTTTATTTATATTTCGACTGAAAATTGTGAACAAAATACTGTGAGATGGTGATAAAATCTGATTCGCTAATTTTAGCCAATCAGATTGAAGCAAAATAGTTATAGTTTAAGTTGTTGCAGTTTTGATTTTTGGTCGGATTAAGCAAAAAGACCCACGGGCGCGAGCGGTTTTGAACTCGAAAACTTTAGGATAGCCGAAAAACAAGTTTGTTCCCGGATAGCCGAAAAAGAAATTCGTTCCCGGATAGCCGAATTTTTGGATCTACTTCACATTTACTCTCCTCTCCCACTTCTACCGCCCTTACCCATTTCTTAATAGGGGGGAGGGGGAGATATTCGTTGCTAGGTACCATTGGGGGGGGGATAATTAAAGAGATCCTACAAACTTACTTAAAAACATTGTTTTCTTATGTGCCCCCTTTCTCTACCCCACCCCAACACCCTTAGTCCCATCATTCTTCCTTCCCCTACTCCCAATTACCCCCTTCCCCTACCCACATTTACCTCACCATGCCCCCCGGCCAACAAAAAAACTATAAAGAGCCCCTAAACTTAGTGCCCAAATTAAGGTTCCCCAACCGAAAGTATAATCGATTATAATGTTAATGCAGGAGCGGATCTAGGATGATTTTCTAGAGGGGGGGGGGGGGGGGGTTTGGGGCAAAAAAATGTTTAAAAAACCAAACCAAAACGCCGTTTTTGGGATTTTATGAAAAGTGTTGACAAAAAATGGCGTTTTTCAGCGCGTGCTCCCCTTTAAAATTAGGATATATTGAAAAGTTTTAGGGTTTTTCGGCCGAAAATGAACATCATAAAACATACCAAAGATTGGCGAGGGGATCGAATCCCTGTAGTAGTCGGACTTTTGTTGTTTATTAATTCAATGAGAGTAAAAGTATTAGCCAATGAAATCTCCTAAAAATGTTCGGAGTTTTGTTAGTTAACAGGCTGCAAAATTTTGAGGCATTTTTTGTCCAATCAAAAATGAAAATTCTAATTTTACTGCATTGTGATTGGTCAAAAAATCAACCATTTTGATCTACTTAACAATCTCTCCCCCCCCCCTTTCTTGAAAGGGGTGGAGATTGTTAAGTAGATCCAAAGTAATAAATTAAAACGGATTTTTTTAAGTTTGATTTTTTTTTGGGAAAATCATCACCCTACACGTCATATAAAGTACAAATAGGAAGATTTCGCTCCTAGTTAAAATCAAATCAACTATGGCAAATGAGCTTGCTTCAACGGGGCAGTACAACAGTGCCGAAGTACAACTGTGCCGAAAATTATTTTCAATACTGTTTTTCGGGGGCTATTCTCATGGGCGAAAGACCGAATGGGCGAAAAACTCATAGGCGAAAGACTGAAAACAAAAACAGTCGAAAGTCAAATATTAAAATAAAGCAATTGCCGGTCAAATAAAAGAAAATAACTGAAGCAATGTTTTGCTTCTTTAATAACGAAACCCTTGAAATATACTTTTTTTCGAATCGCCGGCGGTCATTGACAATTTGAAAGTTTTGCGTATTTCTGCCGTTTTTTTATTCGGCCGAAATAATATTAAGTCCTTGGAAATGTTTACTTTTTTGAGATTTTCACGCTTTCTTTCCAAATTTTGAAATACTGAAATCTAATTGGTTGATTCTCATTTTCGCCAATTCGGTCCTTCGCCTATGAAGAATTCCACCCTGTTTTTCTTCGTCCAAAATCACTGACAAGGGTGGCCTCCCGTATGCTGGAGGGACCGAATGCTTGAAAATTATTTTGGCTTATTTTCAGCCAATCAGAATTGAGTATTAAAAAATCTCAACGAAATCGCGAAAATCTCAAAGTCAGCAAACAAATCCAGGCCATTAGTGTTAATTTTGACCAATTATATAATAAGCAGTTGAATGAAATTCATACCGGATCGAAGGCAGATGGGAACAATTTTAATATTTTTAGGATACCGAATTATAAAAAAAGGGAAAACAAAAAACTAGTTTTATCTTATTTGCACCTATTATATCTGCATCTAGTATTTTCATTATATTATCCTTTTCTGTTAATATTGACTTCGATTTTGGGAGAAAGAAATTTAGCCAATAGGAACGGTTAGCGATTTTGATTGGTTGAAATTTTTCCAGCATTCGGTCCCTCCAGCGTGAGAACCCTCCCCCCTGACAAGTAATTAATTCAATTCAAATGGATTGAAGTTGAAAAGACATTTAGCTTTTAATTGATGCCGCTTATTAAACAAACAAAAGTTACTCCGCGCGGCGTCAGTTATGGGAGCCAGCCTATTAGCATGTGTGCCATCAGCATGCCCATATAAAAGAATGCAATTAGAAGATTCGCTTTTCACGTTTTGCTCACTCATATTTGCAATTTTTTTTATGAGAGTGCACTTAGCCGCAATTTTAATTTATTTAAATAATTTTTTGTTCCCAAACAAATAAAGTGGTTTTCGAAACTAATTAAAATTTTAGGCTAATTTTATTTTCATCTAAATGCACACCCAATCAAAACAGTTATCGCATGCTAAAAGGCACACATGCTAATCGCTACACCCCGTCAGATATTTTTCGGAACAAACAATTAACTCAGCAAATTCTTTTTTTTTCTTCTCGATTTCGCTCCAATTCACGCAAAATTGCTGCCAACAGTTCACAAACAGAATCCAAAATTTTCAAATATCATCAATTTTCGGCACTGTTGAACACATTTTTAGTTTCGGCACTGTTGTACTTCGGCACTGTTGAACGCCCCCCCCCCTTCAACCAATTTGGAACGATCTCTAAGACGGATTAAATTTTCGCTTACGCGTTAATCTGGCAATGTTGAAACTGAAACCCTCATAACTTTCCGAAAAATGAGCACAGGTGAAATATAATTTTTTAAAAATTCGAGCTCAGGACAACAATACCTTTTGAATGATAAAAAATCCGTCAAAATGGCTAGTTAAAAAGTCGAAATTTGTCTGAAGAAAAAAAACACCCCGAGCACAAATATTCCGTTACTTTCGTTACGAAAGTCGGAGCAATTATCATCTTCCTCAATCCCCCAACTCAGTCATATCGGCTATGGGGATGGAAAAGTAGAAGGATGGTTTTAACTTTTTCTGATTGTAACTTGATGAAACTTGAGTTCTAGCAACTTCTATCATAAATCTTGTTTCATAAACGTGTTTCAGCAACTTCAAAAGCTAGAGGTAGAAAGCAAACGAGAATGGAACCTCAAACTACAGAACGAGAGGTTCCAACTTGAAGAAACGATCCAGAATTTGCGGATGAACGAAGATCAATTAAGACGAGAGAAGCAGCGACTCGAAATCGAATTGCAAACCCAAAACGAACTATCTTGGAGCTCAAAAGATAATGAAATCAAGCAACTGAAGACGGAAGTTGAAAATATTCGAGCCGAGTTCGAACGAAAGGAAACTGACTTGGAAACGAAACGACGCGAAATGCGATTGGTCAACGAGCGACTCAACGAACAAGTTCGGCAATCGGAACAAACACACGAGAAGCTTCTCGACGAAATTCGAAGCCTCAAACTCGATAAATTGCAGTTCGGCGAAAGTAAAAATTTAGCAATAAAACAACTGGAACGGAGCGAGGAAGAAAAATCGGAGTTGGAAAAACAAGCTAAAGTTGCCATGGAAACGCTTGAAGCGGCATTTAATGAAAAACTGGCGCTTCTTCAACAAGATATGGCTAAATTGAAGTTCGAAATTCAAAATCGTGATTCTTCCATTCATGACAAGCTAGCTGAAAACGAAAGATTGAAATCGCAGAATATCGAATTAGAAGAAACCTTACGTGTCACTATGATGATCATGAAAATGATGAAAGGCGCCATCGACAATTGAAGATTTAAAAAACACCATCAATATTGCAGCATGATAAATTGTTCATATTTCATTCACTTTGTACGAATTGATGATAGTTTAATTTTGAGGAGTTTGTGATAGTTTTGCACGGAAAGATTCCATGTTCTATAGAAGTTTATGTCTTTTTCTGAAAATAAATGTGACATCACTACATGACGTCATGCATTCTTATGCTATATTAGATTACATAATTAACCTTGTTAATGAAATGAAGTTCATACATTTATATTTATTTAACTATGTAAATATTGATGGTAATTAATACCAACCATAGGAGATTTATACCGAGCTACTAATCAATTGGGTAGACTTGAACAGAATAAAATATTACAATCATGCTCTAACTTGCGTCGATCGACTAGCGATATCCCAGAACCACCAATGAGGAGGATCCTGAAGCCTGGCGGAGGAGGAAATGTGTACATCTCGAGATACGAAAAATCAACCGCACCACCCCATGTATAAACATTAGGTATAACACAAATTTTTGATCCCTCAAAAATTTCAAGAAATAACTACTCGAACTTTCACTGTGGATCCTCATTCCAGCACCCTAGGAACACGTGTACGAAGTCAGCTCACTAGCAGATCAAAATTGGGAAAGGTACATTATTTCGCGAAACTCCTATGTAATAAGATAGGAAAAAACGAAAAATAAAATCGACGGAATTATTCGCTGAAAATCCGAACTCAAAAGCTAAGATACCGCCAGAAATCACCCACTGCAACCGTTGAGACAATCCTGACAGGCTGTCAAGCAAACTGAACAGTTTCTTAGAGTCTTAAAAGATACGACCGGACCAAAAATCTTCAAAAACTTTGAAAAAAGAGGGGAATCCATCCTTTATCATTCTGTCTGACGCTTAATTTTGCTCAGTCGAACCAGCAAAGTACTGGAACAGCCAATATGAGTGAAGTGCAGCGACAGCAGAAGAAACCAATTGAAAAAGACAGATTCCGCATCATGAGACGTTGGTGGCCAAAAAGCAAAAAGCATCGTTAAAAAAGTGGAATTCTGACTTCACACAAAAAGAAGTGTATCATTGCCTGTCAGGGTGTCAGGCCACCAGAGGCAAAAAATACCCAAAAGAAGAAGATGACAATACTTCTTAACAATCAGATGATATATGAAACACACAGTGGCAACTTTTAAGCACGTACAACAAAGTACAAATAGCTTTATAAACTGTCAACTTCAACAAAAAGTGAAAAATTCGACAAAACAGATAACTGTTAAATTGTTGGACATCTATTCGCAATTGAAGAGGCCACGAAAAGACTGAAGTCACCTCATTTGACAAGTTAACAACTAATTCGAGCACCAATGGAACAAAAGAAATGACTAGTAACAATCAACGAAAGAAGAGAAAAACGACGAAACGACGAACAATAGTTTGCTACACGACACTACAGTACTTGCCGTGCAAATTTAGTTACAGTTGATAACTGACAATATCATGGTATCATCAAATTGACCCTATCATCTATCACTTAACTCTCTTAACCCGACTCAATGTGGCTTCCTATCCCCATTAAAATATTTCCCATTTAAACTCAATTGAATTCTCTTTCACATAATGTAAATTGAAGTAATAACCTGTGCTTCTAAACCAATGAATGTTAATTATTTTTTGTGATAACTTGATAGTTCAATTACTCATTTTCCTGTAGCAGTATATATTTTGTCAATCTGATAGTCGATTTTAAACTTAATTATTTTAACTGTAAACAGTCAAAAACTGAAAACCACCCGGGAAGATTTCTTCTTGTGAGGTAGTGTGACATCACTACATGACGTCATGCATTCTTATGCTATATTAGATTACATAATTAACCTTGTTAATGAAATGAAGTTCATACATTTATATTTATTTAACTATGTAAATATTGATGGTAATTAATACCAACTATAGGAGATTTATACCGAGCTACTAATCAATTGGGTAGACTTGAACAGAATAAAATATTACAATCATGCTCTAACTTGCGTCGATCGACTAGCGATATCCCAGAAGTTAAGAACTGAATCCTGCGTCCTTAAAAGCAAGATAAGTCTTAACCGCTCGAGACATATAAATTATGGAAACAATCAATAACAATTGATAGCCAGTAGCGCTAATTAATATTCGAACAGCTTACAACATTAACAACAAACAACGATATAGCTGTCCACAGCCATCCGAAGGGACACTATATCACAATAAACACTGGTAAATCTTTTTTCTTGAATTCAGTAACAAATTAACCGACAAAAAGCAATTAATGACTTGCAAAATAAACAAAAAAAAAAGACTTCCAGAAAGTCTCAAGGTTTTTTTCCACATGGTGCTTTGGCAAAAATTGAGCTTAATCGAACATATAGTCTGAACATAGCCTGCGTTAGTTCGTTGTCTACCAATACTGTTCACATATAGCAAACTAAGATCTCATGCAAGCGGTACAAAACAACAAGCTTGCTAACTGGACTGAGCTGTTTGATTTATGATTCGACTGAAACGGTCAAACGGTGCCCATTTTTGACTTCTTAATTCAAACGATGTTCATTATTGGCCTTGGTATTCGATAAATGTACGCACTCGACATTTTTGATTTCGCGGGACACCGTTCAATTTGGCACGAATTATTTCAGTTTCCTGGACACCAATTGAGTTCGCTCCAAAGTTTTGGAGTCATGAAAATTAAAAAAATAGAGAACTATGAGCTCATAGATTTTAAAGTCTAAAAAGGACCACTTGAGTTTAGGTCCGGGTGGGCCTTCTCATAGAGTAACTTCGGATAGGTCACACCGTCTGTTAGTCACACTATCTATTTTCGGCCGGATAAGTTCATGCAACTCCTTAGTCGAATACCAATCCTAACATTACTCTTGAATTTCCTAGTCTCAATAGATATAGCGATATACTGGTTTATTAGGAAGCTACAGGAGAGAAGAAAATCACTGATTGAAATTTTTGTTCTTAATTCTGTGAACTACTTGGGTTTCAGGTTTACAAATATAAAGTAAGATTTAGTCATGAGTTATGATTGGTTAGTTTTGAAAATTTTACAGAAAAGTATTTCAACAAATAATTTAAACTTCCGGGTCTCAAGAAGTTTTAAAATTCTGAGTATTTTCATACGGGAGTGTTTTCTGAGTTCGTGAGAGAGTTGCTTATCTGTGCCTGCGAAACACATATGATGATGATGGATTATGGTGAACCCAGAGCGATCGAAGTGATGTGCAAAAAAATGATAGTAGGGAGTAGATTTCATAATCCAGAAACGGACTAAGTGCATTCTCACTACACGCTCACAATCGTCCGAGTAGCGAGATAAAGGATTGACTTTTCTTAGAGAAGTGTCAAGTGAAATGGACAGGAATGTAGAATTTGACATCGAGATGGCCATTGTTCTGATTCAAGGGATTCCTTTTCTTCATTGTCAACTCCATACTTTATATTCAGAGAAAATGAAACTGCGGGAAGTAAAACCAATAGAAGTGCAACTCTGAAGTTGGAATGTCGTCAAGTGATCATCTCCTTTTTGCAGCTCGTGAAATATACTCTAAAAAACTTTTTTTACAAGTTTAATTCTGCATTTTAGTAATTTTAGTTTTAGTTAAGAAATAGTTAGTTGTATTCGGAGAACCTATCTTAGTTTGTTTATTTTGAAGAATTTCTCACACTGGAGCCACTCTTAGCTACAATAGAGTGCGGAGTTCGAAGTGTGAATTAGCTCGGTTGGGGACCAATAGGATTTTGATGTAATTTCACGCCTGAACCTTCCGAGCTTTCCTTGAGGTAGTCAAATTTAGCTGCAAAAAGAATAAAAAACGGAACCCGATACAGGGGTGGAGTTAGGTGGGGCGGAAGTCCCCCTCCCCCCTCAGGGATTCGACCCTCTGCCGACACAAAGGGTCCCCCCTTTGTACTATTTTGAGATATCCATTTTTGGCTGTCTGACCTTCAAAATTTTTCTAAAGGCGCCCGTGGCGCCAGTGTATACTAATTTTGAGGGGGGAGCGCGCGCCGAAAAACGCAATTTGTTGGTCGAAACTTTCCAAAAAGTGCCTAAAAACGCCTTTTTTGGGCCTTTTTTTTCAAAAATTTGCCTGCGGCGCAAACAAATTTAGTCAAGTTAGGGTCTTTAGTGGTTTGGGAGAGCTCAGAAAATAAATTTGGTCGACCTAAAAAAAGGTCGACAAAGTTTTCATTTGTTCTGAAAATGCTTCCCCCCCCCCCTCGAGTCGAAGTAAAAGCGTCCAAAAAAACTTTACATGTCACAAGCAGGAACGCATTAAATCAATTCAAAAATTAAAAAACAAAAATTTTTTCAAACGCTGTGCAAATAATAAGACAAGAAAACTTGAGACAAAATCCATATCGACATCCATGTTTACTTCACAGAAAATAACTTCAATTCAATTCCATAAACTTCAATGCAGACAGAAATATATGAAATTTCAACTTGTTGATCTCAAACTTTTCTGTTCAAAAAAATTTCGGTTGATTTTTTACAATATTTCATGCTAATCGATTTTTTTCTAAAGTGGAATTATGCAAAACTATGCATAAGTCTTCAAAATAATCACTCAAACAAAAAAGTCTGACTGTGTTTAAAAAATTTAAAAAATTGTCAATCAAACACATCCACACGCTGGAATCTTGTGCAAAACTGACTGCTACCGGAAAAAAAGAACATATATCGTCAGTGTACAAAAAAAATCAAAAAAATTCAAAAAAAAAGTTCTTTTTTTGAAAAAGTGAAAACGAGACTGAAATTTATTTGAAAAAACGCTGTGCAATTAATAAGCCAACAAAAAGTGAGATGAAATCCATATCGACGACGAACTTCTTTCATAATTTGCTAATTTTTGCAAAGAGCTCTGAAAAGAATGCAGAATTGTTAGGAAAGAAAACAATATACTCTTTATAACTACCACCCCTCACATTCGATTTTCGAAATTTATTGCACTGCTGTGTGAAATGAATAGCTTTATTCGGTTCAATTGATGAAACAATATTTGCGACTTAATGTGGAAAAAAAATAAAAATCGTACTATTACATTACGGTCGTTAGGGTAACCATGACTTAATTTGGAGATAAGACCAAATTTGGTCGACCTCTGAACATTTGATTTTCGAGTTTTAATGCACTGTTGTGTGAAATATCTTTTTTTGTTCAATTGATGAAACAAAGTGCATCAAGTGTATTAACTTATCACTTATCCAATGTCGAAGCAGATGCTACCAAATACCACAAAAGTGGCACCAATATTTGAGACTTAATGTGCAAAAAAAAGAAAAATCCGTACTTTTACATTACGGTCGCTAGGGTAATCATGACTTAACTTGGAGACAAGACCAAATTTGGTCGACCTGAACAAATTTTACACTTGCGAGAACAAGACTAAAATGCATGTCAAAAAATTGCGAGATATATTCAGTTAGAAAATTTATGAAATCAAGTTTTCATTATTTTTGTTTTGTTTGAAACAAATCACTTTGAAACAAATCACAATATTTGCGACTTAATCAAGAAAAAAAGAAGGTTCGTACTAATACATTCGCTTTGCAAGTGTAAATAGAGAAAAAATCTACACCCGGTTGCAATAATCTAAAGAAGTAGAAATGAAAAAAATATGCACTTGACACACAAAAACAAAGAAAAGCGCTGAAAAATTCAAATTGAAAACAAAAAATAAGAACTGATCGATCCATTAATTTTAAACACAGAGGCGAAGCTGCGTTCGCAAACACTAGTGAGAAAGAGACAAAAAATCAGCTCTATAAACTTAAAAAGAGAAAAAGTAGAAGCAAGCCTCGAATAAGTAAAACATTTGCTATGTATCCGCTTCAAACCTGCTACCTCGATATTTGGATATTCACATCCTCCCTCTCAGCCACGCACGCTTAACGATCGTCAAACACTAGGCACAAATAAAGCAGAGAACAGATGCTATGAAACTCCAATACTGCTGATCGTGATTATATCAGAGCTGTCACCAAATGAGCACTTTTATTTATGAGTTAGGTTGAAAAAAGAATCATACTATTACACTAAGCACAATGGCTCGCTATTTTAAATACACTTATCAAAAACGTGCAAATTGTATACGACGGCTATCAATATAGAGCAAAACTATTCCAAATCTTCTTTTGCTTAATCACCTGAAATCGTCAAAAACTTTATTGAAAATCAAAACGATTTAGTATATTCGCCATAAAATCGCAAAATGCATCAATTCAACTGGAAATAATAAACCAAAATAAAAATTCCATAAATATTTCTAAAATAAATATTCTAAAATATTTCTAAATATTTCTAAAAAAACTCTTATATGCGTTACTTAACTGCTGATTCAATTAAATGCTAACAGGTTTAGCAGACGAAAAAAAATAGTTGTGCTTAGGGAAGGCGCGTCGGAATAGAGAATTGCAAAATTGAATTGATCTAATCATCTATTATTTTTCAAACATTGTAAAAATGTGTGTAGCAAAATGAAATATTAATTATTTGTGATTTAAATTGCCAAGCGAATTATATAACATCTTGTTATTTCAGAAGGTTTTCACAACTGCTAACAATTTTTGATTCAAATGCATCTGGAAGCACAAAAAATAATATAAATAGAAGAGCGAGAGAAAAGTCATCGAAAGAACAGAAAATTAAATCAGATGGCAATCAACCTTTTTTCAAAACAACCAAATGCTCACTGAATCTGTCAAAACCAGGTATTTTTTTGCGTTTTCAATATAAGGTTGTAGACTGTTGGCAAGAACGCATTTACTACGCGTTAAGGAGTGATGGATGAATAGAAATGACATAATGAACATTAAGGCATTAAGGTCAACTGAGTTCTCAGTGTATTGAGCATCACTGGATTTTGTTCATGAGGGGTGCTATTCTGGAGAACTGGGGTCTCTGATTGGGGTCTTCATTCATCATCATCTTCATCAGTTTGCACAGGTGTACTAGCGGCTTCTCTTTCAGCGACTCAGGACGAGGGAGGTCAAGTCGCAGTCGGGAGTACACAATCTGCCATAAAACGAAAGCACACATTCAGAAATATGTATATTTTCCTGTTTCGCATCCAAATTATTACATTACATATACGAATAATTATACATTTTTAGACCCATTGGCCACTACATTTATACATGGCCAATATTTTACTGGAAAACTGAAGCCATCTGGGCTTACAAGAGAGTCTAAAGCATATCAACTGACCTTAAAAGGATTTTCAAAAAGCTCATATGATGGAAAATCTCACATCTGACCGCTAATTCGAAAACTTTACCCAAACCCAGAAAAATTCGTGAAAAAAAGCCTTTTTTTATCATATTTAATACATTTTTACCTTGAATCCAATATGGAATCTGTTCATGTCTGCAAAAGGGATCTGTCCCGTCAGTAACTCCCACAAAACAACGCCCATGCTCCAAATCTGAGCAGAGTGCAGACTAATCGGATTAATGGCCACACCAGTACCTGGAAAAATAAATAACAATTATTTCAATCAAAAATATCCATGTGAAGTTTCCGATGTCCAAAAGAATTTGATGTTCAATTCAGGTAATCATTATTTATTCAAGTCGTTGAAACTTTAAGACTCGGGTCAGAACTTCTAGCAGACAAAAAAGATGAATCAGAAGTACTAAAACACAACTGACTTTTTCTTTACTGAATCGCCATTTTGATCTTGATAGCGGTATACACATATTATACTGATTGTCACGAATCTACAACCAATCATTTGATTCTGTTACAAAAATTGTGGGCATGGAGCGCCCTGAAACCTTCTTTAGCTCTTCTTAACGATGGCTCACCTCCTTTTCCACTCGCAGATGCATTGGATTTATTAGGTTTGTGGGAGGCGTCCAGGTACTCCGGCGAACACCACTCTGGATTGTATTCTCTGTAGGGGGTCTCGAAGGACAGTTTTGTCTCTGACATGTTCAGCTTAGCAACTAGTTCGTCAGTTATCTAAACAATTATATGACATGATGCTTTTTCTCGATTATCGACTAATGAAGTCATTGGTAGAAATTTTCAGCTCAACAGATGGAGCTGCCATGGCTATGATAGTGTGCGAGGTTGAGCTCTCACAGGATCTCTGACTTCAGGTCTACCACACTTTGACAAATTTCGGTTGCATTAAAGGTACCACGTAAAAGAAAACGACCTTCTATAATTAGTAGCAAAAAGTTGGAACAGACAGAAATAATTAAAAAGAGCAATCAGCTAATTTTGCATTAAAATTTGAGTTTTTAGGTGGAATTGAGTCATATTTTCTGTCTGAAAAGTTAGCATTTGCATGCAAAAATTTTCTAAAATGGTCATTTGTTCTTAATTAATTCTGTCTGTTCCAACTTTTTGCAACTCTATAGGTGCCACGTTTTAGACTAAAAAAATGACCTTGAGAGGCAAAAAAATGTTCGCTCAACAAAATAACTCGAATGTCGGGAAATAAAACAATGGACTATCCTTGAGCATACCTCTTACAGCCTACTGACAGCTCCTCAAAATTATTCATGAAGTGTTACATTGGTCCTTTGGAAATCACACATTGGTTTCAAAAAATATATATTTTAATTAGAACTCAATATCTTTACCCAATTTCTTTCAACATTTCAGAAGTAAACTAAATAAATCGACTCGCGTGCAATCATGAAAACGTTGAAACTTCTGCATGAGTTACCACCATTCGCTGACTACTTTTTGAACGAATATTGCTTATGATGTTGACATTCTCATCTGTGCTGACTTCAAATAAAAGAAAAGAAAATGTATCCAATAAGCCTTACGATGACACTTTTGGAGGTGAGGTGGAATCCAGTGTGTTCGATTCCAAACAGGAACTCCATGCCACTGGCGATATTGGCAGCCACCTTTGCCATTTGTGATGCCTCCAAAACCACGTCACTTCTGCAATGTAAAACCTAAAAATGCAAACGTCACATTTATAACTGCTTGTTACTTTTCTATTGATGGGTCCCATAAAACAATTTTCATGGTTCCAAATTATCGAAAACACCATGCTCAACTTTACTGAAAATTGTTCTGCTATTACAAAAATTGACGCGCCTATAAATACTCAAATAGTGTTATGATTCTATCTACATTTTATGGGTCATTTATACATCTAGGCTGAAAATGAGTCTATTACCTCGTAGAGTGTTCCGAGTTGTGGCGTGAGTTCAGACAGGAGGAACATGTAGTCGGGGGTGTTGATCCAGCTGAACACTCCGTGAATGTTGGCATGTGAGAACACTCTATGTAAAAAAAAACTTATGTTCAAGTCGACCAGAAACTATATACCGAGAAGGCAACTTCAACTATGAGCTCGACATTCCAAAGAATTTAAACATGATAGTGTAATCATAACCCTCAAAAATGATTTTTGTCGAAATCGAAACAACCAAACTAGGCAAATGTTTCCAATTTTGGTATGATAGGAATGGTATACTATGACATGCGCTATATTTAATGAAAATAGCATAATCAGAAACTAACTTTAGCTTTTTGCACTCAGCGTCGAAATCTCGCGCCACCCGTTTGGGGTCGGCTGTCTGCGGCCGGACAACTCTGGTCGCCACCACTTTCGTACCACCTGGTATGACTCCATGTAACAATTCTCTCCAGGGATGACTCACCATCCCCATCGGAGCTGATTGGAGATTCTGCACTTCGTCCATGGATATTTTGTCACTGGAGATTCCAAAACGACGCATGGTGCCATCTCCTAAGCCCCAAATTATGCATAACTTTACAATAAAGTCTTGCCGGGAAAAAACTGATTTAAAACACTAATAGAAAGATGTATCTAATAGTAATATGAAACCTCAAGAAAATAAATCGCCGGAACTATATGACAGAATACGGAAACATTTTATTGTAAGAATCGCAATGTACGGAATTTGAGGACCAAATAGAGGGCGAGGTATTGAATTAGAACAAAACAACATAAATTGAACGAGATGACAACTTGTCGACCTACATTTGATTTAATCTCCAAATAAAGAGCACGCGAGCATGTTTGCAACCGAGAGGATTAAAAGAACAGCTCAATATAGCCCCAAAGGTCTTAATCTTCAAGTAAAGGTATTTCTAAATTCAAAAGCAACTTTACACATATATGTTAAAAAGTAATAGCAAAAAGATGCCTCATTCTGCTTGCCATGGGGCAACTAAGCTGTTAATTTTTTTAGGCGAAAACTAATTACTACCTAAAATTATGAATCGCAGGGAAATTTCAATTGTGTGCGTTCTTTGAAAGATAACTACATATTATCGAATAAACAGCTAGTTGACTTCATTTAAATGACTTCATTTTGAGAAATAAAATTTGCAGGATGTTTTCATGGTGTTTCATAAAATAATATTTAAAAGTCGTCTGGTAAAATGTTTGCTTGCCGTGAGCCAGGGTTGACTTTAAGTGGACTCGTATGAAACCTTTGTCTATCCTTTCATGATAGCTTGTTTTTTTTACGATACAAATGATTACTGTATGAGTCCGGACTAGTAAAACTGTTCTACTGGTTGTTTTTTGTCTTATATCAACCAAATTTGAGAAAAAGGCAATTGGATTTTCCAAATTTTTTTGTTTTGTCCGGATAATTCAAATCATCAGTCACGAAAAAAAACTTCTGTGGCTAAAACTGATCTTTTTACTAGCTAACTGGACCGTACTTCAAGGTACCAAGGTATTGAAAATTAGGCAATATCAATTACTAACTCGGTCTGACTGTGCGTATTCTAGTAGACACCTCTTCAAATGCAGTCTCGAATGGGATGCGTGTCACCTGTTGACCCGTATTCTCCGCCGCCTCTCGCAACTCCCTGGCCAGAACTCCTGTAACCTTTCCCTTGGCCACATCCAGGGGCGTGTTGTTCTGCCGATTGCAGAGGGAGACATTGGCGCCTAGATTGACCAGTTCCAGGGCCGTTTCTTTGAATCCCCAGAAGGCGGCGTAGTGCAGAGGCGTGTTTCCGTGTCGGTTCATTGCATTCACCTGGAAAAAAAAACATTCAAACTCATAGAAAGATCACACGTCATCAATTTGACAGCGAAGTTAGACCCGTCGCCTGCATCTACGAAACCAAGATACGCTTAAGCATGTTTCACTTTACCTCGCTGATTGGTCTAAATGAGCTGTTCTTCTTGCCAGACTTGTCTGTAGTCCTCAGGAGCCGTCTGATCACGTGCGTGTGTCCATTCTGAGCGGCACAGTGCAGGGGAGTGTCCTCCCCCATGTTGACCACATCTGTCCTCGCACTATGAGGAGGGGTCAATAAGAGGTCAACCAGGGCCATGTGTCCATACCTGCAGTGATTGTAATCAAAACATACCAGTGGGAAAAGACACTGTTATGAAACGCTAATATTGCAATAAATAAAAAATCAATTTGTCGTGAGTCATTATAAATTTGACATCATTTATATTATTGAATGAAATTTACGAGAAAAAAGATTGAAATACTACAAAAAAGAAATCGACTGATTAGCCAACCGCTTTGCCATTTTTATACAATGTGAAAAATACGAAAAAACTACGACGTCTCTCTCCTAAATTCTGGTTGCCAAGATTTTCCATAGGGTCTGTCCTAACTTTGGTACTATTCTACGCCACTCATTTATGGTTAACCCTTGGTGCCAATACATACTAAAATTGAGGAGCAAGCTCGCACTGGTCTTTATAGGGTTTTAGGGGATCTCGGAAATCAAGTTGATCAACCTACAAAAACCGCCCACACTTCTAGAAATATCATGCGCGAACCACTGACCAAGAGAAAATTTTGAAGGGAAGTTCAAGAAATCGCAAAAAAAAGAAAGAAAAAGAAGAAAACATTTATTCTTTTTACTTTTTCTGTCTGATGCTATAATAGCGGTTGTTAAGCAGAAACCAACGAATAAGCGAAATATTGAACAATTGGTGATTTTTTTTTTTGCATTTTTCCTTTTGGTGCTTTTTAGATTTGATGAAAATGTTTGAACTCTCAAAAACCATTATGAATTTACTTGGAGAGAACAACCTCGTAACACAGACGGAAGCTGAGCTTCGCACCACTTAAGATACAGAAAAACTCCAAATCCTAAACAAATCGACACCCCAAGACCTTCATGCTTATCTCAAATGAAACTAATTTTGATCAAAACCTGCGGCGGAATACAACGGTCGGCATTGGATTATCATTTTTAAAAATACCGAGCGGGAACTATGCAGAAAAAAACCGGGAAAAAAGACAATAAAAAATCGAAACGTTGGATTTTTAAAAGCAGAAAAAACGGGAAAAATGATCATAAAAAATCCAAACGTGCGCTTTTTTTCAGACATCACGACGAATAAGAATGAAAAGTTGCTAGGATTCTAAGTTCAGAGAAACAATCCGAAAAAATATCCAAAAAATGCTGAAAAAAAGTCGCCTATTTCAATTTTTTTTCGCTATATCAGAAAACTTTGGAAAATTACATCAAAAATACTACAAATATAGAACGAAAATAAACTAAATTACGAAAACATTAGGAATATTAAAAACAAATAGCAAAAATAAACTAAATATTTTATAAGGAAATAAAAAACATCTGAAAATTACGAACAGAATAAGAATAAAACATTTAAAAGTAAATTGTGATCTGTTAGCGCTGAACGCCTCCTAAACCCGAATCTCTTGCTTAGAGAAGTTACCGTTTCACAAAAAAATATAGGCTAGCAATCAATTAAAGCGAAATGAAAACCAATTGACAAAAAACTGATTGAAAGCTATAACAAAAATGTGATTAAAACGAATGACTTCAATTACTTTCGCCAAAAAGAATATGACTAGAACTGCATGCCGCTCAAAAAATCTAAAGGTAAAATTTCGAACAAAGTTTGATTAAAAAAAACCTTCCGAACATTTTCTATGCATAATAATTCTTGTTGCATTATTTGGCTATTAATTTTTTCAGGTAACACCAAAATAGGCAAACAAGATGCCGTGCGTCTATTCCCTCTATGTCAAAAATATCGCGATTCAACTTTGTCTGAATTTTTCTTGATAATGGAGAAACAAATTTTCTTCGTTCTTTCTTAAAATTTAACAGTAGCCTCATTAAGATAGCTAACACCTGCGATACAAAACAAGACAGCTGCTACGTCGGAAAAAAATGTTGAAAAAACTAGATGTATCAAATGAATAACGTTAGAATTGAAACAAAAAATGTGCCGAGACAATAGAACGTAAAAGAAGCATCGAAAGAAAATTTACCGAGCGGTAACAAAGCCAAAAAAACCTTAGAAAAAATCTTCCTCACCCTCAACGGACACACACATCAAAAAATTATTAGCCTGTCAAATGAAACATTATGAGATCATTAAGACGATATAAAATAGACCAAACCTATTAAGCCGAAAAAAATCAAATGCGAAAAAAAGTCAAAAAGTTTAAGACATAAAAAGTTATTAAGTCCCCTCACCCTCAAACCACACACACACAAAGTTTTTTGCTCCTCGAACGACGCAAGATGAGGCCACTTAGCCGATATAATATAGGACAAATACTAACAAACCAAAAAAAGCAAAAAACGAAACTTTAAAAAAATGGAGTTGGTAAAATTACAAACAATATAAAAACAAAATTTCGTACAGGATATATATTCAAAATTCCAACAGGAACAAAACATATCGGTAGCGGTAAATTTGTTGCAGAGAGGCTTCCAGGAAATGAGTCACGATGAGACTCCTGTGAACAAAGTTCTTTACGGGAAAAAAAGTATAGTACCCCATTGCATTACCCTTGCTTATCGCAAGGGTAAATAGAAAACAATAAGTTCATCGTCGGAGTGCAGATCGGAATGCTCAACAAATTTTAGCAAAAAAATAACTTCAAGCTAGGAGTCAGCAACTGTCTTGTTAATGGTATTTTTCCGATCACTCGAAAGAGTGGGAACGAACTATGGCATGCGGAGGGTTCGCCCTCCCAATTTAAGTAGCTGAAAGAAAGCTCTTATCGGACCAAGTCTAAGGTTATATTAAATCTTTTTCAGTCCTAATTCGGATTCGAAAAAAATTTATGTCGACAAAAAAACTGGTCTGAAATTTCTACTGACATAAAAGAAGAGTCTGACTACTACGAAAAGTCTAAAAACAATTTATTTCAACGATGAATAATTTTTCGATTATAATTTTTTATGCATATGAATAGTTGCTTAATGTCGAAGAAGAGTTTATTTTTCGTTGCTACAAAAAGCATATTAAGCAAATGTAATTGAAACAACTTTTGAGCAACTCGGAGAGAACAGCGATCGAATCCATCTGGATTTCGAAGTGCTGCCGTCAACTCGAAGACTTTCCAACAACTCAATAATTATAGAAGTAGGGGAGTGAAAGGTACAAGAACTAAAAAAAAACTAGGCGAAAACAAAAGGAGCGAAAAACAAAATAAAAAAATCCCCTTTTTTACTTCAAAAAATGGTCGCTCAAAGAATCTGACAATTCTCAAAGAATCAACTCAATGACGATATACACACTAAATGATTGGCTGCAAATTGTAAACAAAAATTAGAACTTGTCTGTTTAATCTTCAGAAACTCGCTAGTCATCGCCCTCCTTGTTGGGTTCAAAATCAAAACTTGAAATTGTTCACTTAAGCGTGATAGTTCGCATCGATAACTATGGTTGGGACGTTGTGCTACTCGCACAAAATTGCTATTAATTGATGTTATGATCAGGGCTGTTTTAAAATCAGCTGGAGGGTTCATAGAAAAACTTTTTATCGCTAGGACCACACCCCTGAGGCTAGTGGGAAGAACTAGAAGCCGGCGTGGCATGCGATTTTTTGTTCGTAATTGTATCCAAAATTTCACTAAAGATAATACTTTTGGTCTGAATATTTTTAGTTTACAGGCAAACTAGACGAAAACTAATGAGACAGACATCCCTGAATAATGAAACCGGAAACCGAAATACCCACTTCATTATACTATCGACTTAGCGTTAATTTAGCTACAACTAAACCTCAATTTTGCAGTTTTTTAGTACCTCTTTACTAAAAAAAAGTAACAGAAAAAAAATCATGAAAGAAAAGGCGTTTCGTTGGAACTTTTAGTAATGACTGAAAAGACTTCAATATAAAATATAACTCGGCACCATCTCACGCTTATTTTTGGTACCTTGTTTTGCTTGCCCAAAGAGCCCTTAGAACTTTGGCAACTTCAATGGTCGAAACAAAGCTGCGGTGAAAAATTATTATCATTTCATAATTTGGGTTCATACCAAGAGGCCCAGTGCAGAGGCGTGAACAAATGCTGGTCTATGGCTCCGTTCGGATCAGTCTCAATATTGTCGAGCCATTCGCGTAGAAACATCAGGTCCCCATCTTTGCACGCTTGAATCACTGCTTCTTGAGTCATGCCTCTAACTAAAACGACGATCCAACATAATCAACTGAACTGATAGAAAGGTGATATACTAATATACTTACTTTCGAAATAATCAAAGAAATTTTACCATATGGATGCCGACTAAAACTCCAGACCGACCAAGTTTTTGACAAAGTCATTTAAAAAAAAAAACTATGCTTTTTGAAATCTGAATTATGTTCGCATGAAAACTGAACGCAATAGCAAAATAAAACAGCAGTCGATATCGCACAGTTCAAACACACAGGGCAAGCCGAGCTTGGCACCAATTGCAGTACAAAAAAAGAATGAATTGGAGCTGAAAGTTGAACAGCCATTCATTGTCATTAAGAATATTACAAAATATTTTACGAAATCAGCAGGACGTAAAATCATTCTGAAAACAAAACTAAAACTGGATTTAAGAAAAAAAATTCTGCAACCAGATTATATCCTTTTTTTCGGATAATACAGGAAAAAGCAATTAAAATATTTCGAAATTCAATTTGCAGAAGCTTCATCTACGAGCGCGAACCAAAGATAGAAATTTTCATATTCAACACGATGAACCGAAAATAAACATTGATTTCATAAATTTTACAAAACTTGTTGAAACAAAACCCTTAATCACACTTATTTTAACGACTCTTTCAGTTTTTGTATCTAATCAAGGGAATTAAAACCATATTCGGCCAACATAATGCAAGAAAACTTTTCAAAAAAGAAAAAATGTTGCAAAACCGATATATCAAAACATGTATCGACCAAAATTTTTTCAATTATCAATGGGTATGCAGAAAATTTTCAAAATAATCAAATCAGCATATATATTGAAATTGAGTAAAAAGGAACAAAACTTATTACTAAACTTGAGATGAAAACAAAAATAACAGATACGAGCATTATGTTTAGCCTAATTGTTGTGATAAACTTATTAAATAGATATGTCTCGACGAACCGGATAAACATCTTATCTTGGGTAGCCCTTGTCTACGAAGGGATTTTAGAGATCCGGTTGATGGAAATGGAAATTGACACAAACAGAATCAGATAAAGAAGATAAACCAGCTCATTTGAGAGTGGTTACGACAGCCAGAAAAGACACGAACAAATTCCCGGATGTTATCCAGCTCATTTTAGAGCGGAAACGACAAAGAGAATTTGGAAATATCTTTAAACAAATCTACCAAAATCCAGCTCATTTTAGAGCGGAAACGACCAATAATTCCCAGCAAGACAATGGAAATACGTCGTCTCTCCACTGTACAGTATGTCAAAACGCTTTAACCAATCAATCGGTGAAATGCGTCGGTTGTCAAGCTTCTGCCCACTCTGCGTGTATTGGCCTCAACACTGCCGATAAGGTGGTTGGGCACATTGAATGGAGTTGCCCAGATTGTGGAACCTGTAAAAGAGATATTTTCCGAGTTATTGATGAACTGCGACAAGAACTGTTCTCAATAAAGACTGGCGCAAGATGTACACGAATTAAAGTCTGAGCTGCTATCGCTGAAGCAATATCGGGAACCAAGTAGTTTAATTGAAAAGAACAAAACCAATTATGCTGGGGCAGCGAAGTTTATTCTGAATTCTTCGGCATTCATCAGAAATGCTCGTGAAAGTGTGTTCTCAGAAGCTGGTAACTCGAGGGTTACGAAGCGAAAAGGCTCCAAAGATAGAAATGACCGCAGACCAAAGAAACCACTAATTACGGGAGAAGTGGTAACAGAAGCACTCAAAGGTGTAGAGAAGCCACCACCACGACGCCATCTCTATGTTGGAAGAATAAAACAGACAAATGATGAAAGTGATATAGTCGCATGGTGTCAAAGTAAAGGATTTCCTCTGAATCATATCAAGGAAATAACAAAGGAAAGTTCTCGCCACAAAAGTTTCTACTGTGTATTTGACGGCGAACATGCAACAATCATTGATCAACCTAATTCTTGGCCGGAAAATGTTGAAATAAACAGGTACTATCTTGATGCAGAAGCCAGAACCTGGCTCAGAACTTCGAAAAGCGACTGACTAAAATCAAATAAAAAACCCGAGTCTCAATCGAATGCTATGAAAGTTGGTGTAATTAATATACGTTCTCTAGCGAAAAAAGTAAATCAAATACAGAGCATATTGGCTATAGAACAAGTTGATATCTTGATCATAACTGAAACCTGGCTTAAGCCGGATACGGAATATATTCTAAATCAGTGTATAGACTCTTCAAATGAATATCGATACCATCATGTTTCACGAACGGCTAAAAAAGGTGGAGGTGTTGCCATAATTTCTCGCGAAGAACTACAGGGTGAAAGAATTTTAAGCCATCTCTCGGACGATGGTGAATTCTTGGTAATTACGGTCGTGACTAGAAAAGTCAAAATAACAATTGCAGCAATATATAGACCGCCGAGTGGAAATTATAACGAGTTTTTTAATGAATTGACTGAAAATATTCTTGCCTCATCAATTGAACCCCAAATTCTCATCCTGGGTGATTTTAATTTGGATCTAGAAAACAGACGTTGTGCCAAATCCAATACATTTTATTCGATTCTACTGGAATATAACCTAGAACAGATTGTTAAGAAAGCAACTCACGAATACGGGAAAATTCTAGACCTCATAATTTGTTCAAATCCGGAATTGTAATCACCCGTTAGAAATGAGCACGTTGAATACTCTGATCACCATCTATTGACGTTCACTTATCAAATCGCAATTCAACGGAAGGATAAAACCAGATTGACTATTTAAGATTGGAACAATACAGACTGGAAACGTTTAGAGACGGAAATAGATCAGAATTTAATCTTGAATCTGAACACCAGTGACCCGAACGAGATGGCAGAGAATTTTATCGAAATTTTGCAGCTGCTGAAAACTGATTATGTGCCAACTAAGACCAAAGTTGTCAAAAACCGATTTTGTAATTTTTACGATAAAGAGTTAGCAGACGTAAAACGAAAACGTAGAAAATTAGAACGCGTAATGCGTGTAAATCCTGGATTAGAAAACGAAACAGCTTTCAAGGAGTATTTAAAGAAATGTAAAGATCTGTTTAGAGAGAAGAAATTGATATATTTTTCCAGGCGCTTTGAGCTTTCAAATAGCCATTCGCTCAAATTTCGTGAATTGAAACGTCTTGCTGGAGAAAAACAACAAAACGTTCTCCCACTGATATACTCCAGTGATTATGAATTAGCTGAAAACTTCAACCAATTTTTCATTCAGAAGGTTAGAAATTTAGTGGCAAATGTTAAAAGTAATGGCATCTCGCCGCCACTCTTTGCTTTCACTGCAGTTTCTTCTTTCCAATTCCAATATGTGACTATAGATGAACTAGAAGAAGCAGTAAGAATGGTTTCAAACGCGAACTCACGAGAAGATATACTGAAAACGATAGATATAAAAAGAATAGCACACTCGTGGAAAGATTATTTCATCATTATGATAAACAATTGCATCGATCAGTCCAAATTTTCAAAGTGTCTCAAGAGAGCGGTGATAACTCCTCTCTTTAAAGACTACAATTTTGACCAAAACGTTTTAAATTCTTATAGACCAATAGCGAATCTGATGTTTATCAGTAAGGTTTTTTGAAAGAATTTTATATAAACAGCTCGATCAATACCTTAGCTCCTATAATCTTCTAGATAAACACCAATCTGCTTACAGGAAGCATTTTTCAACTGAAACGGCTCTGCTAAAAACTACAGATGATCTACTGACTAGTCTCGACAACAAGAGACAGGTCCTTTTGATAGCCCTTGACCTTTCAGCTGCATTTGATACCATTGATCATAAAACATTGAGAAAGATCATGAAAAATCGGATTGGAATGACGAATGATGCAGTGGATGTAATTCTTTCCTATCTAGAGAATCGGACTCAAATTGTTGCTATCAATGATGTTTTATCGAATTCTCAAGAACTCGAATTTGGAGTGCCTCAAGGTTCTCTTCTGGGACCCCTCCTGTTCTCAATCTACCTGACACCATTGAACGATATTATTGGCTCAACTAAATTTTCATACCAAGTGTATGCCGATGATACTACTTTATACTGTGAAATTAAAAACGAGAGTGAATTAGCAGAAATAGAAAGATCTCTGGTTATTATTTCGAACTGGTTTTCGCCCATGGGGCTTATGTTAAATGAATCAAAAAGCCAAGTAATTAACCTAGCCACTAGTAAGTCAAAAGGTCTAACAAACGGTTCAATACTAATTGGAAATTCAACGGTTAAGCTGATGAAATCAACAGAGAACTCTGTGAAGTCTTTAGGTTGCCTCATTGACCGATCCTTGTCAATGAAAAAACAGATCGATTCCGTGTGTGGCGCCAGTTACCACAGTCTCCGGAAACTATACAGCATACGCTTCTACCTTGATTTTGAAAATAGAAATATGTTGGCAAGAATGCTAGTCTTAAGTCGATTAGACTACTGCAATAGCTTGTACTCGAGCTTACCAAATTATCTGCTCTACAAGTTGCAAAAAGTCCAAAATAGTGCCTGCAGATTTGTTTTCGGTTTGAAGAAGTCATCGAGTATTACTCCTTATCTACGAGACGCCGCCTTCCAGTGGTGGATCCGACATCTTGGGCCCCACCAAGATGCAAATGGCGTCAAGCCCCCCCTCCCATTGGGTCGGGAGAAGCTCAGAAGTCTGCGGGTTTTCGGTTACGGAGCGTCTGAAGCCGGCCAGGCTGCTCCGTCTGCTCATCCTTATACTACTACTCCGCTCCGGCATTAATCCAAACCCTGGTCCAGGGCCTTACTTTTGCTCCCCTTGCTCTTTCCGCATCAAACGCAACCAGCCCAGTGTCTGGTGCCACATCTGTGGTTACATTCACCTTAAATGTAGTGGTCTTACCCACCTTAACCAACACCACTCTGCCTACTATTGCCCTACCTGTACCTCTACCTACATTTTACCTCCCCCAGGCACCAGGTCCTCTAACTTGACCACCCCCAACTCCCAAACTTGTTCAACTTCCCTAACCGCCCCCCAACCCCACCTCCCTAACCCCCCTCCCCCTCCCACCCTTCCCACCTCCTCGAATAATAATTCCTCCTCCCAAAATCGCGCAAATCGTAATCGTGTAAATAGTGTAAATAACTCAAGTTCAAACAACCATTTTAATCATACTGCTGTTAATAATGTAAATAGTTCACCACACCCCGCCAAAGGCCTTTTAAAAATCCTTCAATTTAATTGCAACAGTATCTCCGGAAAAGCACCCGAAATTGCTGCTTTCTTATCTCAAAATCAAATTCATATTGCTGTCTTCCAAGAAACTAAATTAAGAAAGAAATCTCGAAACCCCTCACTTGGCTCACACTACACTTTAATTAGAAAAGATCGAGAAAAAGAAGGGGGCGGTCTTCTCATAGCCATACATGAGTCGATACAATACGAAGAAATAAATATTAACAACGATGGAACACTAGAGGCTATGGGCATATCAGTGGTAGCCAGTTCATCCAAGCTTCGTATTTATAATTTCTACATCCCCCCTCGCTCGAGCTATCCCCCTGGTTACTCTGCGTCCCTTGCCGAACTACTTGAACCTGGGGACGCCTTAGTACTCGGGGATGCCAACGCACATTCACAACTATGGAACTCCAACATCGAGAAGATCAACGCGGCTCTGTACTTAGCAATGAAATAACCGAATCCACCTTTGCACCATTAAATGATGACACACAAACCAGAGTCCCTTTTAACTCAGAAAACCAACTCTCGTCACCAGATATTTCCCTCGCATCCCAATCGCTCTTACTCTCCACATCATGGACCCCAATTAAATCTCTAGGATCAGACCACCTACCCATTCTTCTAGAACTACCCTTGGATGATTTTATAAATTTTTCACCTAAAAGGACTTTTATAAATTTTTTAAAAGCAGATTGGATCAAATTCAAAGAGGAAATTGAGGA